GTGAGCGTGGCTGCTTATAACCGGATCCTCCCTTCCCTGGGAGGCGACCTGCAAAGACTCACAGCCCCCTCACGTTGCTAAAGTCTGGCAATCCTCCGTCTCTCCTGCACTTCCAGACACTGGCATGCCCTGCGTCTAGGACATTCATATGAGCTAGGTGGGGACTCTGGCCTCGAGGTGTCTCCAACAGGGGGTGCTGGGCCAGGCTCTGGAGCAATCTCTTCCTCCAACTGCACCTCGGGTTCTTCGCCCTGCTGTACTTCTTCTCCCACAGGTGCTGGCAAAGGCTCCTCTTCTGGGCTGACTCTGGAGGAGGCTGGGTGGCTCCATGCCTCCTCGTCGTCTGAGGAATAGTCAGCCTCAGCTGAGCCCGGACCCACGACACAGTTCTAGGAAGAGCATCTCAAAAGCGGCCTTTAACCCTTGTTCTAGATTCGCTAAGGTCATGAGATTTTTAAGCTAGGCAACAAGTTACCAGTTCCTTAACACTGTAAAATATATGGGAATGTTTCTGAATTGTAAATTCGATCACTAAACAGGGATCAACAGCATGCAAACAACAACATTCTGTGTTCATTTGAAGCTACTGCTTCTTGTTTGGCAGGTGCTTAGAGACAGCGGGAATTCTAATCCCCTTCAGTGACCTGAGTGGATGCAGAATCACATCGGAGGCACAGGGGTTGTGTGCCCAAGTGCTGCAGTGCAGGTTAATCTCCAGTCGTTTCTGCAGGACTCCACAGTGGCTGCTGCCCCACCTCCAGCTGCTGTTTCCTTTTGTTGTGAAGAAGTAAAGCTCTGCTTTTTCATTGTTTCCTGGCTCTTTGCTCATGGAAGGAGTTGGCTGGGTGAGAGATTCACACAAGCAGTAGATTCAGGATGGACAAAAGAAAATACTTCTTAACACAGCGAGTGATTAAAATGTGGAATTGGCTGCCAGAAGGTATAGTGATGGCCACAGGGATAAACAGCTTTAAAAGGGGACTTAGGCAGATTCATGGAGGATAACGTCTATCAATGGCCGCTAGCCATGGTGACTGAGGGGAACCTCCACTTTCAGAGGCACTAAGCCTCTGAGCCCCAGAGCCAGGAGGCAGCGTCAGGGGAAGGCCTCGGCCTCTATGCCCCGTTGTTGGCCCTCCAGAGGAACTTGGTGGCCCCTGTGTGAGACAGGAGGCTGGACTAGATGGACCCTCCCTGGTCTGACCCAGCAGGGCTCTTCTTCTGATGTTCTTAAGCCCCTATTGTACATAATTTAAACCATCCACATTTATGCATATTCTTTACCTCTGGATTTTATTAATAGTGCCTCTATAGATTCCACCGAAAATTCCCTTTAAGCATTGAAGCCAACATTTAGGATATGCATGCATACCCCACAGAACATGCTATGCATAAACATAACTTCAGAGATATGAGGAAACTCGGTAGAAATTAAAAAAACACCCAGATGTTAAGAGCTCTGTCTCTCTGCCTGTCCCCATCTCTCCATTTATTGTGTGTCTGTTTACAGATAGATGGGGTTAGAAGACTACTACCAGGCCAAACCACCCGACCAGGGCAGGAGTCTGTTGGGGGGGGGGGGCTGGCCGAGCAAGAAAGACAACCCAAAGAGGCTGAACTGTGAGTCCTCAGACTTCAGGGTAGCTCTGCCCCCAGTCCCCTTTCCCTGGCCAGACAGCCAGAGCCCAAGGGACAAAGTCTCAGGCCCTCCTGGAATTAAAGTCAAGAAAGTCTCCCTTGCAAGGTAGGACACCTTCAAGGCAAAGTTTCACAGACAATTACTCTGGCAGCTGTAGCCGAGGGGGACCAAAGTTTTGAAGCTGTTTTTGATCCGTCATGGAGTAAACCGGTATAGGGCTGCCATTTCACACATGGCTTTCCCCTTCCGGTAAAAAGCTGGATCTGAAGCGGTTTGCCATTTCAGACTGCACCGCTTTTTCCTGGCCGTTTTTTGCCCACACGGGCAATCTCCGGCTTTTTGGGGGGGACGGGGACGTTTGCTTTATAGCGCTATAGCACTATAACAAAACACTCCAGGCATTCCAAAGGGGTTGATATACTGCTGTTCTGTTATAGTGCTATAATGCTATAAAGTAAACGTTCCCAAAAAAAAAAGGCGGAGATCGCCCGCGCAGGTGAAAAACGCCAGGAAAAAGCACATTGGAACCAGGAGAGGAAACTGAAGACTACTTGGAAGCAGTTGACAGGTAAAACACTTCAGCCCCATTTCCTAAATGGGACAGAAGCATTTGTGTGTGAAATTACAAATATATTCCAGTAGGGAACCGGTTCTAAAACGGTTCTGTCTGAAATGACAGACCAGAAACTGTTTGGGAACCGTTCCTCTTCCGGATTATATCGTCTGTCTGAAATTCCTCAGGGTTTCTGGCCAGTTAAGACCCACCAAACAAGATGGCAGCCAGGCTAATCCAAGCACAGGGCCAGCCAATGCCTGAGGCTGTGGTCGGACACACACAATAGCTGGCGCAACGGCTTGCAGCAGTGGCTTTACCACACCAGGGCTTGCAGCTCTCCCGGCTGGGAGTCCACCATGTGGCCTGTAGCGAAGAACTAGAATAGAAACCTTTGTGGCCGAGGCGCAGTGTTGGCCTAATCCTAATTAGCCAATCAGGTGTAGGGCAAATGATGTCACCTGGCCACCAGATCTGTTGCTAAGGTGATGGTCTGACCAATCAGAGGGTCTTGTCGATAAACCAGCTGTTCTGCAGGTACGTTCAGCTCAAATGAACCAACTCCTCCTCTCTCCCAGCCATGATCTTCAGGGGCGAACGAGACGGGGGCCCTAGGTCCTCCCCTAGCTTCTGTCCTTGGAGCTACCAGGCTTAATGGAGTGACCTGCAGCTGGGTCCCCTCCTCCCATCTCTCTCATCGGAGTCTCTGAAGCTTTTACCAGCTTGCTTGATTTCAGAGGGGGAAAATCTTTCTGTTGCAAGGCCTCCGTTTTACTAGGCAAAACAGCCTGGTCCAATGTTGAAAACTTGAACGAGAAACTGCGTAGGAAAACCAGATTCTTGACAGACAGGTGTGCAGAGAGCTGTCAAAATGTAACTGAATATTATTCTAAGTGAGGAGTGAGAGATAAAGTCTCTGGGCAGGGAGGAGATGAGTTGGTGGCACCTCAGTGTTAATCACTTCATGGAGAGGAGGCTTGGGCAAGAGGTTTCAACAGACCGGGTTAGATCACTTTGGACGGAGAAACGCAGCATTTACACTGTGTTCTCTCTAAGGATGCGTTCAGACGGCTCTTTAGGTCCGCACGAGGCACGGGTGCCTCATGGATTTAAATGTAATGTCCAGACATCAACATCTGGGAAACGTCTGTCTTCCATGAGCATCCCATTTTGCCGTGCCTCGGAGCCGTACTAAAAAGATACTACTTTGAATCTGGAGTTTTCAGTTCCGACGGACCACTCGTGGACTTTCCCCTGTCTGATCGTTCCAGTGCGCAATTAAAAATGATGCCCATTCAGGACGGTCTGACATCAGACCATCCCGAACGGGCACCATTTTAAAAAAATCTTGATTCTGCGCATGCGCGGATAAACAAGGCCGCAATATCATGCCTATGCGCATGCGCAAAAGGGTGTTTTTTTTAAAAAAAACACCCACCGCACACGCCTCCTTCAGTGGACGCCGTCTAGACAATCCACAGCAGAAGCAGCGCGCGGTAAGGCGAATCCCCCGGGGGATGTCTGGTCGTGCGAGGATGGATTAAAAAGATCGGGATCAAATTTGAGCCGGCATAATGGTGGGATTAGCTGTCTGTCTGAAAGCAGCCTCAGACTTCAGTGTTAGGGCTGCCCAGAACGTTGGAGCTCATCCGTGTCCTTGATTAGTGATCTAGACATCTGGCTCAGGGCAAGGCCCAGTTTCCCTCTAGAAGCTGTCGTGTTTCTTCTCCTTGATCCTGAGGAGAGTGACGTGTGGTCCCACTCCTCTTGCTAAGGCTCAGCCCTTCAGGTAGCCTCTGTTTCCTGGCCCCTCATGCCAAGCAGACAGGCACTGGTCCCATCTCCTTAAGGAGGAGAAAGAGAAAGGCAAACGCAAACAAAAATGGAGGTTTGGTTGCAGCCCTTCACTGACGTCAGCCCGTCATCTCTCAGTCTCTGTAAAATGAACACATGACACTTCCTTATACTGAGTCAGACCCGTGTGGTCTATCAAAGCCAGTATTGTCTGTTAATACTGGCAGTGGCTCTCCAAGGTCTCAGGCTTATGTCTTTCATATCACCAGCCACCTGGTCTTTGAACTGGAGATGCTGCTAGGGATTGAACCTGGGGCCTTCTGCATGCCAAGCAGAGGCTGCACCACTGAGCCACAGCACCTGTGCTTTGTAGCAGCTGCGTTATGCCCTGTCTGTTGCAGGCGAAGAGTGTTGGCTCATCCAACAGAACTACCATTGTCTGTCCGGCCATACCGTTGTGCTCCGCTCCTTGCAAGGCCATGGTCCTAGGGAAACAAATTCATGGCGTGCTGCCTAAGAGCACTTGCTGATTAAAAAAAGAAAAAGCCATGGCGTTAATGCAGAGTAAGGACAGTGGGTCAAGGCGGAAAGGGTAGGACGTGGGGAAGGAGTCAGGAGTGGAAACTGGCAGGCCCACAGTTGGACCCATGAAAAAAAGGTTTGAAGCCGCTGGTACTGGTTTCTTGCCAGAACGTGACTGATCAAGAGACTGGACAAGTAAAAATAAGGGATATCTGGCAATAACACTTCTTTGGAAGGGGAAAGATGCCTCCCCTGCATCGGAATGGAAGCCATGCTAATGCGACTCTCAATCAAACATATTTAGGTATTCGTCTTCTTCTTTTATGCTTTGTACTGTAGATGCTGAATCACTTCATGCAGGTAGCAGTGAGCACTCTCTTTTCAAAACATGCTGGCATAAAGTTGTCTGTCTGCCTTTCATGGGCATTTTGCGCTCATTCCCATGTTTGAAACTATATGGCCAATTTATGCTTTTATGCTCCTGTTTTTCAGGTTACCTGGCGCCTCGGAACCTTCCTAGTGCCGGATTCTTCCCCTTCCTCCAAACCGTGCTCTGTAATTCAGATGCCGTGTGCAAAGCCACACCGTATACACCAGAAGATCTCCTGCCAAAGCTGAATGGTCTTTCACCCATACGCCGGTGAGGAATAAACTTCCCAAAGAAATTATACGGGTGGGAAAACTGGGCCGTAAGGCTTACTTAAAAGTGGGGGGTGTGCTATTGCCCACCTGATCAGACCCTTGAGCCTGATCTTGATATGGTGAAGGAAATAACGGTAAAGACTAAAGCAGATAATGTTATGATACTAGGAGACTTCAGCTACCCTCACATTGACTGGGTAAACATGTGCTCAAGTCATGACATCGTAAACGTCTGTGCACTGGAAAAGCTGGTCACAGAGTCAACCGGAGGGGTAGTAATCTTGGACTTAATTCTGAGTGGAGAATGAAACCAGGTGAAGGATGTCGTGGTTGTTGCTCCAGTTGGAAACAGTGACCCCTAAAGTCCAAAATTGTAACATTTGATTTCAAAAGAGGGAGCTTTAACAAGATCGGGGGCAATAATTAAACGGAAGCTGAAAGGGAAGCTTGGTGATGCTTGGAAGCTCTTTAAAGCCACACTAATTGAAGCCCAGATGGGATGCATTCCCCAGGTTAGGGAAGGTCCTGCCACGTCTTATAGAATGCCTGTCAGGTTAACAATCATAGTCAAGGAAGCTATAAAAAGTTGAGAGGCTTCTTTTAAAAAGTGGAAGGTCTGCCCCAATAAATTGAACAGGAGGGACAACAGGTTCTAGCAAAAGAAATGTAAGCCAGTCATTAGGCATATGCAAAAAGAGATTTTGAGAAACAGGTTGCTAAAAGCACCAAGACAAACAATAAACATTTCTTTTGAAATTTACTGTCTCTGAATGCGGAGCATCCCCTCAGTCACCAGGGCTAGTAGCCATTGAGAGTCTTATTCTCCGTGAATCTATCAAATCCCCTTTGAAAGCTGTTTGGTGCCAGTTTGGTGTCGTGTTTAAGTATGCGGACTCTACTCTGGGAGAACTGGGTTTGATTCCCCCACTCCTCCACTCGCAGCTGCTGGATGACCTTGGGCAAGCCGTAGCTCTAGCAGAGCTGTCCTTGAAAAAGAGCAGTTTCTGTCAAGAGCTCTCTCAGCCCCACCTGCCTCCCAGGGTGTCTGTTGTGGGGAGGGGAAGGGAAAGGAGTTTGTAAGCCGCTCTGAGACTCCTTTAGGTAATGAAGGGCCATGGGGTATAAATCCAATCTCCTCCTCTTCTTCTTTTACCTCACAGGGTGTCTGTTGTGGGGAGGGGAAGGGAAAGGAGTTTGTAAGCCGCTCTGAGACTCCCTTGGGTAGTGAAGGGCGGGGTATAAATCCAATCTCTTCTTCTCTTCTTCTTCTGTTTATTCCTGTGGCCATCACCACATCCTCTGGCAGCGAATCCCACATTTTAATCACTCTCTGTCTAAAGTAGTATTTCATTTTGACCATCCTGGACCTCCTGCCCATCAGCTTGAAATGTTGGAATGAGGTGTTCTACCTCTGAGGATGCCAGTCAAGCTGCTGGTGAAACGTCAGGTACTGCCATGCCAAGACCACGGCCACACAGCCCGGAAAATCTACAACAAATGTCCATAAATGGTCTGAAACTAGGGTTACGTAGTGGCCAGGTGTGTAGTGGCCAGGTGTGCAGATGACCCAGAATTATTCAGGATGGTGAAGACCAAGGGTGACTGGGAAGGTCTCCACAAATTGGGTGAGCGGGCAACAATGTGGCCGGTGAAGTTTGATGCTGGGAAGTTTGTCAGGTGATCAATTCAGGTGATCAATTTGTCAGGTGATCAATTCTAGGCCAGCGGGGTCTGAACTTGCTGAGAATGAGAGGGGAAAAGGTCTTGGGGTTGCAGTCGATAACTCAGTGGACGTGTCATTCCAGTGTGCTGCAGGAGTGGAAAACACAAACCCTGTGCTAGGTATTATTAGGAGAGGGACGGAGAATAAAATGGCCGGAACTATGAGGCCTCGTACAGATCTGTGGTGTGGCCTCCTTTGGGATACTCTGTCCTGATCACCGTATCTCAAAAAGGATATTGCAGAACAGGAAAAAAGACTGAGGAAAGGCTGAAGAGTCGGGCACTTTTCAGTTTAGAAGAGAGATGGCTAAGGGGGAACATGAGAGAGGTTTCTAAAATTATGCACGGGGTGGAGAGAGAGCGGACAAGGAGAACTTTTCCTCCCACCCCCAAAATATACTAGCACTCGAGGACATCCAATGAAGCCGATGGGTAGGAGGTCCGGGATGGTCAAAACAAAATACCACTTTAGACAGAGAGTGATTAAAATGAGGAATTGGCTGCCAGAGGGATGTGGGGACGGCCACAGGAATGAACCGCTTTCAAAGGGGATTCGATAGATTCACGGAGGATAAGTCTCTCAATGGCTGCTAGCCCTGGTGACTGAGGAGATGCTCCGAATTCAGAGACAGTAAATCTCCAAATCCCAGAGCCAGGAGGCAACCTCAGGAGGGAGGCCTCGGCCTCTCTGTGCCTTGCTTGTTGGCCCTCCAGAGGAACTGGCTGGCCCCAGTGTGAGGCAGGAGGCTGGACTGGATGGACCCTCCCTGGTCTGACCCAGCAGGGCTGTTCTGAGGTTCTTATGTGGAGAAGTCCTCGGCCTCTCTGCCCTGCTGTTGGCCCTCCAGAGGAACTGTCTGGCCCCTGTGTGAGACGGGATGCTGGACTGGATGGCGCCTCACTGGTCCGAGCAGGGCTCTTCTGAGGTTCTTATGTGGGGAATGCCTTGGCCTCTCTGTGCCCTGTTGTTGGCCCTCCAGAGGAACTGGTTTGGCCCCTGTGTGAGGCAGGAGGCTGGACTGGATGGAGCCTCCCTGGTCTGACCCATCAGGGCTCTTCTGAGGTTCTTATGTGGGGAAGGCCTCGGCCTCTCTGTGCCCTGCTTGCTGGCCCTCCAGAGGGACTGGCTGGCCCCCGTGTGAGACGGGAGGCTGGACTGGATGGACCCTCCCTGGTCTGACCCAGCAGGGCTCTTCTGGTGTCCTTCTCAGGGGAAGGCCTCGGCCTCTCTGCCCTGTTGTTGGCCCTCCAGAGGAACTGGTTTGGCCCCTGTGTGAGGCAGGAGGGTGGACTGGATGGAGCCTCACTAGTCTGACCCAGCAGGGCTCTTCTGAGGTTCTTATGTGGGGAAGGCCTCTCTGTGCCCTGCTTGTTGGCCCTCCAGAGGAACTGGTTGGCCACTGGGTGAGACAGGATGCTGGACTGGATGGAGCCTCACTGGTCTGACCCAGCAGGGCTCTTCTGAGGTTCTTAAGGAAGTCAATTGCATTGTGGTTTCTGAGCAGGGTTTGTTTGTTTTATTCCATTTGTATCCCACCCTACCCCGCAAGCAGGCTCAGGGCGGCTCACAATTTATAGTAAAACAATAAATAGTAATTCATAAAAACACCACGGACGCATCAGTTTAAAAAAATCCCAGACGGCAGCATAACAGTTCTGGCTACCGTGACCGCTGCAACCACGTCAGGGAGGGCCCATTTCTCCCAAAGCCGGAATCAGCTGGCGCTGGCACCCCTTGGTATAGGCCGTGCCCTAGGCGGATGGTGCAAATTACAGAGATGGGCCAGGTTCCCAGTCCGCCCCCCCCTTCATCATCAAGTCACAGCTAAGTGATGTCCACCCCTGGTGGGGTTTTCAAGGCAAGAGACCTTCGGAGGGGGTTTGCTGTTGCCTGTGCCTGTGTCATGGCCCTGGTCTTCCCTGGCAGGCTCCTTTTCAAATGCTGAAAGCCCGACCTTGCTTAGCTTCCAAGATCTGACAAGATCAGGTTATCCACATCAGTGCAAAACCCCTCTTAGAGCTTCATAATGTGCAGAATCTGAAAAGTACTGGGTTCGCCGCATGGAGGACTCAGACAACGATATACTGTAGCACACGTTTATTGTACTTCACACAGACAAAGACTAACTCTAACGGCCGGCAGGCCAACTATATACATATCCACCCAGCAACCCCCCATTCCCACTGGAGGTTTTGAATGTCCCGCCAAAGTGGCTATTGGTTGGGGCTGGGGGATCCAGGATCCAAGGTTTCCATTGTTCTAGGATCCAAGCTCTTACCTGTGCCGCAGACCCCTGGTGGCAGTCCGCGTACATAACAGAATCACTGCACAGAGGTGGGGGTGGATTCTGTGCCAGAGTTTCCACCCCAGTATCCATGCCAAAATTAACTTTGTGCATATGGAGTCTCTATACTTCCAAAATGAGCAGGGTAGACTCCCTCAATGTGGCTAGTAAACCTGAGAACGTAGAGTTTCTGATTGAATGGGAAAAGTCTATACACTTGTACAATCTCTGTGTATTAAGGACTCTGGGAAACACCAGCATTATAGTTTGAGTCATTCCTGAAGTGGTAGCTGGATCAGGTTGAGCTTGTTTCCCTGGAACAATAGTTTACTAGGATCCTAGAGTAGACCTATAGAGATACAGTGTTATGTAAATAGCCTTTTGCTGGGAGTGGGGTGTGTTTGGGGTGTGGTGTTTGCATGCTTAAAAAAGCAGGGCAGCTGCCCTGGAGTTTGTCTTGTAGTGTTCCTGAAATCATGTAATAAAGTAAAGCTGTTTCACTGCAATGCATCCAGAACCCAGTATTTAACAATTACCATGCACCAATAAGCAAATTTTAATTAATCACACTTGTACTGTCATTTACACACCCACAAACTAAGAATTGAGGCCTGGACTGTGTGACCCAGGAATTCTGCTAACTGAACACTAGGTTCCAGGAGCACCTTAAAGACTAACGAAATTTGTGGCAGGGGAGGAGCTTTCGTGAGTCAGGGCTCAGTGACTCATGAAAGCTCCTCCCCTGCCACAAATTTTGTTAGTCTGTAAGGTGCTCCTGGATTCTTGCTTTCTTCTATTGCTACAGACAGCCTAACACAGCCACCCATCCTGATCTAGCTGAAGATCAGATTATGACCCTAAAAGCAGCCATGGGGTAGGAGGTTTGCTCTGAGCAAAGATTCCCTTCCCATGTATCCCCATGCAAAAATGCCCCCCCTCTATGCAGTTTTAAGTACCGTAGGGGAAAAGGCAAGCACACACCATTCTTTTTCCTTACCCCCCCCCCTTTAAAAAACTGCCTGGGAGGGCCATTTTCAAGTCGAGAAAGATCAGTCTGAGCCCACCACTCCAGGCCTGTGTTGGTGTTACGTTTCCATGAACAGGGAGCCCCCCCCCCAGCCTCGTGTATCAGGAGGACGGTGCGCTCCCTGTAATGGATGCAATACTCTATTGGGTAGGATCCATGCGGATTTTATTGAAGCAGTCTCTTCTGATACCATTAAAGTTTTAACCATGCACAGCTATGCCACAAGGATGTTTTGCTTTTCGTCTTCTGATGAAATTTGTTTTAAAAGTGCCTTTGTATTTAGTGGAAATACGTTCCAGTTGTGTGCAAGAATTGGCCTAGGTCAAAACTCCACGCTGAAATAAACTTTTTAAAGATCCGTGTCCTGATATGAACTCAGTCTGAATGAGGTTTAATGTTTTTAAAAAAGAAACTCCAGTGAGAGGTGATGGGGATACAGGATTCTTTTCATTCTTTTTTTCAAAATCAGGAAGCGGAGACGATCAGCGAGTGCCGACAGGGACAGCCATCGGTCATCCCAGAGAGTGGATGTTCCCCAAAGCAGAAACGGTTCCTTGGGTAGGTGATTTCATTCTCTTTGCTTTCTCTCTTTCCTGTACGGATGCCACACATTCCTCAGCAGGTCTGTCTGGCAGTCAAACGTACCCTGTCTCTACCTATCGGAGCCAGCCAGGGATGGAATTGGACGGCTTCAAGCCACTCAGAAGCGCTGCTGAGCAAGTCTGCAGTTGCCTGTTGGTCAGGAACTGACTGGTGGCTGATCGGGGGGGGGGGGTCAGCTGGGAGTCGGGTTCTGATCCACTCAGCCCCTTCGGCAAAATAGCTGCTCAGCGAAATTGCAAAAAGGGAGAGGAGAAAGAATTGCTTCTCTTCCACCCCCCTCCAAGGTGGTGAGGACAGAGGCCACGTTTTTATTCTCTGCATTGCAAGAGAGGATGTGGAAAAGAGCTCATTTTCTTCCCTGCCTCCAAGCCGGGTGTGGAATCAGTACTTTTAAGCTCTGTGTTGTAAAAAGGAGGGTAGAAAGAGCTGCTTTCTCTCCCCCCCCCCCCCCCCAGGGGGGGGGGGGATGCGCTGCTTTTAATAGGTGCCCTGCAAAAGAGCCAGGAGGGAAAAGGGCTCAAATTCCCTCCCTCCCTCTGAGCTGGGTGGGGGTCACAAGTAATGCTTTTAGTCTCTGGGATTGACATTTTTAATTTTTTAATTATACCTTTAGCTCTTCACTAAGGGGAAGGATCTCATTACTAAAATTCCTTTGTTTGTACCATTTTTTGTTGTCGTTCAGTCGCACAGTCGAGTCCGACTCTCCGCGACCCCACGGACCACATCACACCAGGCCCTCCTATCTCCCGCCATCCTCAACTTCATGTTCGTTGCATCAATAACACTGTCTGACCATCTCATCCTTTGCCGTTCCCTTCTTCTTTGACCTTCAGTCTTTCCCAGCATCAGGGTCTTCTCCAGTGAGTGCTCCCTTCTCATTGGGTGGTGGCCAAAGTATTTGAGCTTCAGCTTCAGTATCTGGCCTTCCAGGGAACAGTCAGGGTTGATTTCCTTTAGGATTGACTGATTTGATCTCCTTGCAGTCCAAGGGACTCTCACAAGTCTTCTACAGCACCATCATTCGAAAGCATCTATTCTTTGGCGCTCGGCCTTCCTTATGGTCCAACTCTCACAGCCATACAGCCAGAGGTCATTTCGGGGGGAAACGCGGGGGAACGCAGTTCCCCCGGGTGAGGTGCAGGGGGGCAGGGCACATGACGAAGCCCCGCCCCCTGCTTCCGGCCGCCCCGCTTCCAGCCCTCATTCAGCCAGGAGGAGGCAGGAGAAGAGGGAGGGTAAGTTGCTTCCTCCCCGCCTCTCCCCACCCCTGCCTGCCTGGGGCCAGGGAGGGCCTTGGCGGGGCTTCCTCGCACTCCCGCTGGCCTTGCAGGTCCACCGCCGGGCCCCTGATGTCAGGGTGTGTGGCATATGCTAATGAGTTATGCTAATGAGTTCCCCTAGCTCTTTTTCTACAAAATGACCCCTGCAGCACTACTGAGAATACCATTGCTTTGACCACGCGGACTTTTGTTGGCGGGTGATGTCTCTACTTTTTATTATGCTGTCAAGGTTTGCCATCGCTTTCCTCCCAAGGAGCAGGCGTCTTTTAATTTCATGGCTGCAGTCATCGTCTGCAGTGATCTTGGATCCCAGGAACGTGAAGTCTGTCACTGCTTCCACGACTTCCCCTTCTATTTGCCAAGGAGTGACAGGGCTGGATGCCATGGTCTTAGTTTTTTTGATGTTGAGTTTCAAGCCCACTTTTGCACTCTCTTCTTTTACCCTCAGCAAGAGGCTCTTTAGGCCCTCTTCACTTTCTGCAATTAGAGTGGTGTCGTCTGCATATCTGAGGTTGTTGATGTTCATACCATAGCAAAACCATAATTTCACATTTAAAATTTTTAGAGACAGCTAAGAATCCCCACCTGGGACAAGCCATTTCTTCAATGAAGTTAACCTGCCTTTAAACCTTAGCTTGGCATTTGGTATTTCCAAGCCTTCCTGAGAAATGATACATAATGTTTGCAGTTATTTGAGGAGGTTTTCTTTGCCATATAAAATTTAAAATAATTTGTTGCCACTTATTTAAATATGAATCGCCACATAAAGAAGAATACTTCAAAATAAAAATGAGATTTTAGGCAATAAAACAATATTTACGATCATTGTTCTGCCTGTCATGTGTAGGAGAGGAGGTGGGATGCTTACAGCCGCCGGGGAGGTTTGCTCAGCAGGACTGCCTTAGTCCTGCCGCTGGCCCAGCCTCCCTGATGCCTTTAAACATGATCTCCCCCCCACCAAGACCAGACAGGCGGGTGTCTGTCAGGTGTAGGAGCAGGGCCAGGGCACTTTAATCCATCAGGGAGGCCACCCCAGCAGGATCACCTCAGCGGTGCTGCTGGCCCAGCTTAGCCACACTCCCACCCACCATGGAAATATACCCCAAATTTGTAGAAAACTGGTTTCCTTTATTAGGTTTTTAAACTTCTCACAATGTGGGTTCTAGAAAACTGGTTCTTATGAACTTGCTTAATATCTGATTGCTCGGATGGTGTTTTGAATATGTAGTTATGTCCCAGTTCTAAAATGTAACATAAATGAGAAGCATTTTTGTAAAAAAAAATGGGGGGGGGGATGCCCTCACCCCAAATTCAATGCCCAGGCCAAACCCCTGCACCAAGAAACCCAAAATAAGGGGAGTGCATTCCTACCCTGGCCTCAAACCCCCCCCCCCCCATATGAAGAGATTTCTGAGAAACACGACCCCTGCTTCTTAAAGGATGGCTGCTTCTTAAATGGGCAGTTCTACGTGGCCTGCTCCAGAATGAGCCCACCAAGCAGCCTGGTGACCCTGGCACCTGAGGGCAGAACCACCGGTGTGGTCTACAGAGAGGTCCTTCAGTAGAGAGAAAAAAAGTACGTATGTCTCACTTCATTTCTTACACTACAGTCTTCTCCGTTACAATTCCTACAACAAATGTCACATTTCAAATTTCACATCATCAGTATTATAACTGGATTTATGGAACTTAAATATCGTAGCGAAGCACAGGTATCAGGCTAGTATTCAATAAAATAAATGCCTTAAGTTTTATTTAACCACCCCACAATGTTCCATGAAATCATCTTAAGTCTCGGGAGATCCAGATGCTATTTACGTAAGACAATTTGGTGCAGTGATTAAGAGTGCAGACTCTAATCTGGGAGAACCGGGTTTGATTTCCCCACTCCTCCACATGCAGCTGCTGGGGTGATCTTGGGTCAGTCACAAGTTCTTTCAGAGCTGTTCTCTCAAGAGCAGTTCTCTCAGCGCTCTCTCAGCCCCACCTATCTCACAGGCAATGCTCCCTCTAAGCTGTGGAGTCTTGTGAGAAAAAAATCTACTTTGTGAGCTACTGGCATTAAAGTTGTGAGACAGCGATTTGGCTGCTACATAAATTAGCTTGCTCTGGAGCCATCCTTCCTGAGCTAAGACAAAAATGTGTCAGCTGGAGGCTAAAAAACTGTGAGCTAGCTCACACTAATTCAGCTTAGAGGGAACACTGCTCATAGGGTGTCTGTTGTGGGGAGGGGAAGGGAAAGGGGATTGTAAGATGCTCTGAGACTCCTTCTGAGAGAGAACGGTGGGATATAAATCCATCCATCCATCTCCTCCTCCTCCTCTTCTTCGATGTTGCCTTATATTCAATATGTATCACTTCCAATTAACTGAGAAGATGATAGACTGTTTATTTCCTTCCTTCCTTCATACTCCATTTCCCTCCTCGATGGGGCCACACAAAGTGTCTTACAACATTCTCCCCTTCTTCGTTTAAAACTAAATTAAAGCCAGTCCTTTTCAGATTTTTTAATATCTGTTTTATAACCTGCTAATTTACTAAACATTTGAAGAATAGCTCTTTTAGCCGATAAGCATGCCTGATCCAAAACCAAACATTTATCCTCTGCATATAATTGTATTTTAAAGATATTGTCATCAGACGGCACACTTATAATCTCACGATTATTTTTAATACCAGCTGCGTGGCTCAAGAGACAAAGCAAGCAGAAAGAGGGACAGACGACAACCTTGCCTCGCGCCTCGCTTAATCCGTATTCTCTTAGACAAACAACCCTTCATTAAGACTCTTGCTTAGAGGTTATCATACCTCAATTTTAACCAGTTTTAAGATCAGCCTCCTACACTGAAATAATCCATTACCTGCCTCAGATAATCCCAGTGAATACAACCAAAGGCTTTTCTGCATCCAAAAAGCAGACAGCTCACTCACGCCCTTATTTTAGTAGCTGTACTTCGGAGGACGGCGGAAGACAGGAGAGCCTGGCGGGAGATTGTCCATGGGGTCGCGAAGAGTCGGACTCGACTGTGCGACTGAACAACAACTAGTCAAAGTCACCAATCTCTTAAAATAGAAAGACAGTGCTCTTCCCATGATAAAACTCAACTGATCTTCCCTGATGTGTTTTAAGATTATGGACTTCAAATGTTCAGAAATCACAGAAGAACATAACTTGAAATCTTGATTCAAGAATGAGATGCATCCCGCAGGACAAAGGATCTTTCCCTGGTTTCCAAGAAGGGGGAATCACTGATGAAAATCTACATCATTAATTAGTGCGAGGAGGAGAGCGCCAGCGCTATGAAGATCAAAGACCAGCCATCCCGTGCCATTCGTTAAATAGGCACAAGGTGCACATACTAAGTTGGTTCCCTTTCATAACTTTAATCATAATTTATACTTGGCCATTTAGTACCTTGAACTACATTAAAGAACACGGCAACCATTCTGTGATAATACTGTAGCGTCAGCTACAAATCCTCAGCGTCATTAAGCCGTTCTTGCAAGAAGCAAATTCCTGGGATATTTTTCCCACGGTGTTCGCTCCCCTCCGGTGATGCTTGACAGTCGGTCCAGAAGCCCGTGGATCTGCAGACGAAAGGTTCCGGCATTAGCTGACATTAGCTCCAAGGAAGGGCGCCACTCACAGAAGGGACTGTTTGTGCTGCTTCTTCCATGACGTGGGGGGCGCCCCACAGGCCCAGGCAGGTGTTCAGCCCTCGGCCCCGGGAGCCAGCAGCATCCACCTTTCCTGGCACCTGGCCCCTTGGGGAACTTCTCCCTTACAAGTGGATCAGCCCGTGCTGCTCCCTGACAGAGGGTGATGGGCAAAATCATCACACCTGTTGGAAATGCAACCTGTTCGCTTCTCCTCTTGAGCTGGAAAGCTGACTGATCGCGGTTTGCACTGCTGCCTTCCCCTTTGAAGACTTTTAACAAACACACAATAAGTACAGTAATGTTCACGTGTATGTTTTTAAACATTTGCTGGAGGAGTTTTGCACCTTACCATGCTTTCGGGGAAATCAGCAGACTGAAATGTTATTTTAACACCCCTTGAGCAGCCAGATGTGATCCAGCCACCCTCTAATTTCCAGGGCAGTGACCCCGCTGTGATGTGGTCCGTGGGGTCGTGAAGAGTCGGACCCGACTATGCGACTGAACAGCAATGACCGGCGACCCCTCTGTTGTGTCCTGCTGGAGCTTTTCAGTACTTAATACCCTCCCCTGCGGCCACCTTGAGACCCTTCCCTGCACCAGACCCTCCTCCTTCTCTCACCGCTTCCCATCCCTGACCCCCAACTGCAGCCTGAAGCTCCCATTGGCTAGTCTGGTCATTTACGGTGCTCTACCGGTCTGCTGCTGTGGTGGCTCAAGTGGTTAAGACGCTGAACTACAGGCTGTGGAAGGTCGGTAGTTCAGCAGTTTGAGACCCGAGTGCTGCAGGACAGAGTGAGCTCCCCCCCACACACACACACCCACTACAGGGGCCACCTCCAGTGTTCCCTCTAAGTTGAGTTAGTGTGAGCTAGCTCACAGTTTTTTAGCCTTAGCTCGGGAAGAATGGCTCTGGAGCAAACCTATTTATGCAGAAGCCAAATCGCTCGCTCATAACTTTAATGCCAGGAGCTCACAAAGTAGAATTCTCGCTCACAAGACTCCACGGCTTAGCTGTTCATAGCTGTTATGTACGGAACTGAATGTATGAATGTATGAGCTGGGAACCCTACCTTGGACCTACATATCTGGAGGCCATCCCTGCAGAACTGCCTCTCTTGCTCTGCTCAGCCATGTCAGCCTTGCTGAAGGTCCCAGCCTGCGAGAGGGCAAGATCGATAGCTGCCCTGTACGCAGGGGCAGTGTTGTGGGTCCTGGCTCTGCTGAGGCTGACTCCTCCTCCGATGAGGAAGAGGCAGGGAGCAACCTAGCCTCCTCTGGAGTCAGCCCAGAAGAGGAACTCTCAACAGCACCTGAAGGAGAAGAGGCCCCAGCAGCTGCACAGGAGGTGCAGCCAGAGGGAGAGACCGATCCAGAGCCTGGCCCAGCACCCGCAGGTGAAGACACCCCGAGGCCAGAATACCAACCTAGTTCCCCTGAGTGCCCCAGACGCAGGGCACGCCAGAGGATGACTATGCAAGAGCGAAGGAAGAGTGCCAGATGGCAGCTCCTGCAAAGGCAACAGGAGGAGCTGGGAATCCTGGCAGATTGACTCCCAGGGAAGGGAGGACCTGGTCATGAACACCCCCATGCACCTGCATCAGCATGCAAGCTGAGATCCGCTCCTGGCTTGTAGCAACCGCTCCTTGCTCCTAGCTCCTGCAATCTTGGACTGATTTCCTGGCTCTCTGACCCTTGGCTCTGTTACCTGACTTGATTCTGGACTGCGTTTCCAGTTTCCAGTGTCTGGTCACCATGCTAACCAGCAGAGCCAGTACTGGCAGTCTGTGTCGTGGCTTCCGCTTTGTGGAATCATGGTCTGCCCAAGAACCCAGGAAGGCTCCCCACTCTCCTGGCGTCCGGCAGATTGTGTAAAACAGAATGGCCCAGGAAAGCATTTTCATCAAGAGAAATGGGCTGTTATGTAACAGGACTGTTTGGGAGGCCACTTCTTTATTGAAGGAAGAGGGTTGGCCTCCATTCCGAGGTTTATTGTACGTTTTATGCTGCTCTTACTGCATTGTCTTCTACTTTTGTAATTCCATGATCAGTATTGTTTATGAGATATGTTATGTATTCAGTTATCATTGTTCGGTATGAGCTTTAGGTACAGCTCCATAGAAGTGCAGCATTACAGAATATGAGACCGGATTGGTCAATGCCGCTGATAGGCCAATCCGGAGAGACATTGACTTTCGGTGGGAACAATTCTTATTGGTCCTAAGCGCCTTTCTCTGGTTGGTTGTTATCTGTTTAGGGGTGTGGTTCCCCCCGTTCAAAACGTATAAAGTTAGCCTGTTCTGTGTGTAAGTTATCCTGAGTTAAGTTATGAGCTGAATAAAAGAAATCACTTGTTTAAGAGCTCCCTCGCCCTCCGTTCATAATAAGAGAGAGAGAGAGAGAGAGAGAGAGAGAGAGAGAGAGAGAGAGAGAGATAGGAGAGAGAGTTTTTCTTTTATAATGTTTTTCACACTTTTGTAATTCTAGTCCTGTTGTATTGCTCATTGGGTATCTTTCATATATAGAATCAGGGAGACCCAGGTTCGAATTCCGGCTCTGCTTTGGAAGTTTGGTGGGTGATCTTGGGCCTGTCACAAATTCTCCGTCTAGCCTACCTTGCAGGGTTATTGTTGTGAGGATGAGAATGGTGTAAACCGCTTTGGGACGGGAGAAAGACAGGGTATAAATTATGTTAAACAAATAAAAGAAAGTCTACAGTAGTATTTTTTAAACGATATTTGTGGGAATATTTAGAAAGGGTGACTGGTTATAATACCTCTCCATACTAAATTTATCCTGTCCATACTAAGTTAAACTAAACTCTCCATACTAAAGTTATTTATTTCCACTTGTTTACTTAATTTATGCCCTGGCATCCTCTCCAGTGGGGATCCAGAGCAGCTTGGGTGGTTCTCCCTCTCCTCTGCTTCATCCTCACAACAGCCCTGTAAGGTAGGTGAGGCTGAGAGTGTGTGGCTGGCTCAAGCTTCCATGGCAGACTCGGGATTTGAACCTGGGCCTCCTGGCTCCCAGGTCCAGCAGCCTGAGCACTACCCTGTGCTGTCTCTTTAAAAGGAAATTTTGTTCAGTTCACCCAAGAACATTCATGTTGCTGTCATATGTTTCAGGATAATCAACCAAAACCAGCATCTAAAATAATAATTCTGTGTTGTTTTTTAATCACTGCAGAGTCAATTGAGTCGACAGCCAATCTGAAAAGCTCCACTGAAAATGTTTCATCATCCAGCCATAACAGAACTCATTCGTTCAGAAATATTCTCAGCCCAGGAGAGGTAATTTTCAGCAGCTACTTTAATCAGACAACTTCTAACATACCATTTCATTAAAAAGTTTGAATCCAGGGGCACCTTGAAGACCGACAAAGTTTACTTCTGGGTATAAGCCTTCGTGTCCAAGCACACTTCTTCAGAGACAGAAGTGTGCTTGCACACGAAAGCTTATACCCAGAAGTAAACTTTGTCGGTCTTCAAGGTGCCACTGGACTCAAATTTTGTTCTGTCGCTTCAGACCACCCCGACAACCCACCTTAACACCATTTCATGTAGCCTAACTCGAGTGTGGGTTTTTATTGTAATGAGATCAAGTATGGTTCCACTGTCTTCCTGTCTAGCAATGGATTGATCCTCCGCTAAGACCTTCTCCTGCGTTTCCAGAGTTGCAAGCTGGATCCCAAACCGTGTAGAGGGAGCACAGCACCTCCTGCTGTCCCTGCTCTTGGCCCGGCCGGAAGCCCCACGAGCAGTTCAGGGAGGGGCGGAAGCTGCCCCCAGGGCCGACCATGGGGACCGGGTTAGCGTGGCTGCCTGTGGCCGTTTGTGGCTTCCAGCTCTTTCTGGTGCCTTCAGCCCCAGTGGGTGGGCAGCGCAGTCTTTCTCTGACCTGTATGCCGCCATTCATGGGATCAACCTGCTTCAGATAGTGCGTCTCTTACTGTACTCGCTAAAATGATCTGGCGGTTTTCTTCCTCTTCTCACGCTGAATTTAATTTTATGGATGCAAATGCAAAAACTATCTGTAGCAAATTTTCGTTTTTTAAAAAAGTTATGCTATAAAATACAAATAAATAGAAAGGTTTAAAGATATAAAATGAAAGCGAAGAATAAGGTGAAACATCATGTTCATGTCAAGTGAGGCCAGATCATGTTGTGTCCAAAGCGTAGTCGGTGTTAAAGAGACCAAGTTTTGAGTGAGTTTTTTAAGGCCTTGTATGAGATTTCAGGTCAGTTTTGCCATTCGTCATGTTCCAGGTCGTTTTGAAAGTGGTTTTCTTTGGAAGGGGATTTATGCACCTTCTAATATTTTGCCGACTCCATCCTTACAGCAACAGTTAAATGTAAAACATTTCATTCAAACTCTCTGGAATCACAAGCTTCATAAAATCTAAACATTTTGGATCGGATGAAAGCTGCACCCACCTGTCACCGATGCTCCCCCGCCTACCCAAAGCAGAAGCTTTCCTGCACTGCCCACCGACTGGGATGGAAGCTGGCCCTGCATTCCTGATGAGGCCAGCAAGCATCTGCTTTGCGTGTCGTAGATTCCCCTGCCTTGCCTGCTGCCTGCTCGCCCCAGCGACTGCTAGCAAGAGGCACCTTGTGTGGTCTAGAACTGGAGGGAGGGGCTCTCTCTCTCTCTCTCATGATTCAGAGCAACTGATAGCCCCCCCCCCCTCTCCGTGAATTCGCCCACTCCCCTTTTCAAGCCTTCCAAGCTAGCTGGCGGCTAGCACCACATCCCGTGGCAGCGAATTTATTTATTTACTTTTCGCATTTATATCCCGCCCATCCCATAAACGGGCTCAGGGCGGGTCACAACATTTCGAAAAATGCAATAAAATTTCCAAGCACATTAAAACATATAAAATCAGTAGTCATACTTGCCGTAGGGAGAATCCGGCCCATTGATGGAACTGGGTATGGCCGGTTATCAGTAGGTGGGAGATCGCGACCTCAGCCCACTGCCTCAGCCAAAGGCTTGGCGGAAGAGCTCCGTCTCGCAGGCCCTGCAGAATTGCATAAGATCCCGCAGGGCCCTGATCTCGGTAGGGAGCGTGTTCCACCAGGTGGGGGCCAGGGCGGAAAAAGCCCTGGCCCTGGCCGAGGCTAGGCAGACGTCCTTTGGATCGCCAGGAGATGTTGACTCTCAGAGCGTGACGCTCTCCGAGGCGTCTATGTGCTGTGTGAAGAAGCACTTCCTTTTGTCTTCAAGTACCTGTTTGAATAAAGAAGAAAGGCAAGCGAGTAGCCTGTGCTGGAGGGCCACACTAGATGGCCGGTCCCCTTCTAGAACCAGTCATTCCTTCTGGAAGTGTCCAAGGCACACGGTGGCCCATTGAGGGCCCCAGGCAGGTCTGTGTCCCTGGTCTTCCTCCGTGTTGCCCGGAAGGCCTGGGCCCCTCCTCTCCCCTCCCCTCCCGCCGCTGCGGTTGTCCAGCCTCTGCTCCAGAGTGAAGCCTGAGGCCCAGCACGGCCACCCGCCTGAATCCCGCCTCTGCCCCCCATGGCCCCTGCGTCTTTCCAGGCCACGTGTATGTGGCGAGCAGGGGCCAGTCCTACCGACTCCAATGCGGAGCTTTCTCTTCTAGATGCCAGTGCGAACATCGACGGTGGCAAACCTGAAAGCGGGCGTCTGTGATGTTCTGTCTGCCTACGCGTCTTCTCAGAACCCCCTGTGGGAAGTCCTGGGAGCAGACGTCTACCAGACCTTCTGCTTCACTGAGCTGTCTCTCGCGGAGTCCTTTTTTCGAGAATTCAGAAGTCGGATTTCTAAAGTGAGTAGTATCAAGCCGGGCTCTTCTCCCCCCCCCCCTTAGTGGAAACAAATATGCTGATCCGTGACCTCCGCCGAAGCCCTCTGAGGCCTTCCCAGCCCCCCCCCCAGCAGCAGGACGGACCCTCTGCCCAGGCTGCCTCCCTCCTGCTCCGTGCATGCCAGCCGGCGGGAGTGGGCGCCCTGGGAGAAAGCCAGCTGGGGGCAGAGCGGGGCAGTTTTTTCCCTGCCGGGAGAGAGGCGGGCTGGGCTGGGCTGTCCTCACGGGAACCAGGTGCCCACAGCTTGCCGGCTTGCAAAACTGGAAGTCGGTGCACCCAAGGCTCCCTCTAAGCTGTGGAGCCCTGTGAGCAAAAATTCTACTTTGTGAGCTGCTAGCACTAAGGTTGTGAGCGAGCGATTTGGCTCCTGCGTAAATTAGTTTGCTCTGGAGCCATGCTCCCTCTAAGCTGTGGAGTCCTGTGAGCAAACATTCTACTTTGTGAGCGACAGGCATTAAAGTTGTGAGCAAGCGATCTGGCTGCTGCATACATTAGTCTGCTCTGGAGCCCTCCTTCCTGAACGCAGACAAAAAATGTGTGAGCCAGAAGCTAAAAACCTGTGGGATAGCTCACACTAACTCAGCTTAGAAGGAACACTGCTCTGGAGCTCTCCTTCCTGAGCCAAGGCAAAAATGTGTGAGCTGGAGGCTAAAAACCTGTGAGCTAGCTCACACTGACTCAGCTCAGAGGGAACACTGCTCCCAACTAAGCCTGGTGGGAACAGGCCGTTGTGTGTTTTCGACAGAAGAAGGAGCCCTGGCGGCCGCGGTGGGTGGGTGGGTGGGAGTGTGGAGAGTGTGGAGGGAGAGAAGGGCCTGATGGTGACAGCAAAAGAAAGCGGACCTTCCCGCCAGCTGTGACTCCCCTCTCCCCCCTCTCTCCCCCTTGCCGGTGCTACAGCTGAACTTTCCTGGGAACGACAGGGAGGAAGTGGCAGGTGTGAGGACGGTCCCACTCCGCTCATCTTGGTGCTGCTTTTGCTCTAAAAATCAGGCCCCACTGACTGCTCTTTGCCTGGGGGGGGGGGAGTGGGTCTAAAGGGGTTAATTAGTTATCATATGGCATAAGAACATAAGAGACGCCAATGTTGGATCAGGCCAAAGGCCCTTCTAGTCCAACACTCTGTATCATACAGTGGCCAAAAAGACCAGGGGCCATCAGGAGGTCCAGCAGTGGGGCCAGGACACTAGAAGCCCCTCCCACTGTTGCCCCCCCCCCAACCACCAAGAATACAGGGCATCACTGGCCCCAGACCGAGAGTTCCTCTCTATACCTTGTGGCTAATAGCCACTGATGGAGCTCTGCTCAATATGCTTATTTAATTCCCTCTTGAAGCCGTCCATGCTTATAGCCGCTACCACCTCCTGTGGCAGTGAATTCCATGTGTTCATCACTCTCTGGGTGAAGAAGTACTTCCTTTTATCTGTTCTAACCCGACCGCTCAGCAATTTCATGGAGTGTGCAGAATAGCCAGGAGATCCTAAAATTGTCTGGCAGCCACAAGTTCTAGCTCCTTTAGCATTATGCACCACTAAGTGGCGAGCTAGACTTGTTTTTAAGGCAAGAGATCTTTCGGGGGCAGTTTGCCATTGCCGGCCTCTGTGCCATGGCCCCGGTATTCCTTGGAGGTCTTCCATCCAAATACCAGCCGAGGCTGACCCTGCTTCGCTGCCAAGATCTGACAGGACCGGGCTAGCCTGGGCTATCCAGGTCAGGGAGGTTTAAAGGAGCAGGTCTGTCCCCGCGACATCTAATTTGACCCTGGGAGCCCCTGGCCAAAGGTCCTGCAGAGTGGGGCGGAAGGATTCCAGGGGCATTGGAGGGAGAGCTCTGAAATCCCCGAGACCCATGAAGCTGCCTGAGGTGGAGTTAGAACACTTGTCCGTCCCGCCCAGCGTGGTCTATTCAAGGAGGATAAAGTTGGCCTACGAGCCCTTCTACGGGGGTTCCTTTGAACGAGGACATTCAGAGATGAACATGGGTCTTTGTTCATGCAAACCATGTGCTCTTCCACTGAGCTGGGGTCCCTTTTGACTGTGGGAGGCAGACCTGTCAGGGAAGAGCAGTGGCCTCTCAGAGGGAAAAGGCCTTGACTGGCAGCTAGGCGGGCAGAAGAGAATGAGTGGGGGGCTCTGGAAAAGACCTGAATCTGAAGAAGGGAGCACTGATTCACGAAAGCTCCTCCCCTGCCACAAATTTTGTTAGTCTTTCAGTGGCTCCTGGGCCCTTGCTCTTTTCTCCTGCTGTGGACAGACTCACATGGCTACCCACCTTGATCTATGGAAGTGTCATTCCAGGTGGAGCAATGCACATAAACCCAGCATCTGCACAGAGGAAAGCTGTCCTCAAATGCCAGGTTTTCAAATGGTCTGTTTCCGCGTCATGAGGATCGAGAATCCCATTTCTGTGGTCCTTGCGGTGCTTTTGGATTTGAGTCTTGTTCTCCTCTTGCATACCAGCACTGCTGCCCTCCTGGAACTGTCTCTGAGACAGATCCCAATTCCACGTGAAGCGGAGTGGCCGGAGAGGATGCTGGGGCTTAGGCTGGCCTCTGGGTTCTTGACTCCCTGCGGAGGTATCACTTCCCTGCCGGAAAGCCAGGCTTGACTCGTGCCCTTGCAGAGGCTCGGGCATGCATCATCCCAGCAGCAGCAGCCACCTCCCAACCTGCGTGCCGATGGCAGAGCAGACTTGCTGGGCTGCCAGTTAAGGAGATGTGTTTATTCATTTTAAAAACCACCCTTCTCTTCTGTGTCCAGCTGCAGGAGGACCCTCAGTACCAGGTGGTTTTTGTCCGGGAAACGGTCTCTTTCCTGTCGCTCCTCTCCGAACTGCAGAATGATACGTCTGTGTGGCGCCTCCTGCTGTTGGCCCCGGAGATCACTCGAGGGGTCCTCCGTGTGGAAGGGATGGTCGCCGCCCTTCAGGAGACAAGCAGGTGAAAGGAACGCTGCTGCAGGGGCCAGAGCTCTTGCGCCTGTCGTTTCTGGGGCAGGGGTGGCTCTGTGTGTGTGAATCTTGAATGGTCACCAAGGGAGATACGAAGCATGACGTTTTGGTGGCCTCTCTTCTCGGAAGGTGGGCTCTTTTGAACATGGCTTTCACACGCGGAGGCCCAGTTGGTAGCCATTGCACACGTGAATGTTGCCCCAGTGCACTTTGCACAAGGGAGACACGTGAAGCTGCCTTGTACTGGATCAGACCCCCCCTCGGGGTCCATCCAGGTCAGTCTTGTCTACTCAGACTGTCAGCGGCTCTCCAGGGTCTCAGGCGGAGGTCTTCCCCATCCCCTCCTGCCTGGTCCCTTCAACCGGAGATGCCGCTGGGGATTGAACCTGGAACCTCCTGCATGCCAAGCAGAGGCTCTTTCACTGAGCCACGGCCCCTCTTTACAGCTCTCCAGGGTCTCAGGCAGAGGTCTTTCCCATCACCTACTGCCTGGTCCTTTCAACTGGAGATGCCGGGGACTGAACCTGAGACCTTCTGCCTGCCAAGCAGAGGCTCTGCCACTGAGCCACGGCCCCTCTTTACAGCCCTCCAGGGTCTCAGGCGGAGGTCTGTCCCATCACCTCCAGCCTAGTCCTTTTCTCAACTGGAGATGCCGCTGGGGATTGAACCTGGGACCTTCTGCATGCCAAGCAGAGGCTCTGCCACTCCCCTGTTGCCTTGAGGTGTAGGGAGCTTTGATCAACCTGTTGGACTGTGAAGAAACCCCAGAAAAGCAGCTCTTACTTACCACACTCTCACTGATGGTGAGGGTGACGAGGAGGAGGGGAGCTTCCACCCTGAGAACCCCGCTGGGGCAGCTTTGGAATGCTGCCTGCTGCTCCCGTCTCCCGTCTTCCGCCTCCGCCTGGATCCTTCCAAAGAGACCTGCCTGGCCGCTGACCGGGGTGGGCGGTGGGCCAGAGGACCAGGCTGCTGGCTTCGGCCCTCCCTGACACCTGCCTGCCTGCTCCCCTCCTCTCCACTTCCCAGATTTCCTTGAAGGGCTTGTGTGTAAACTGCCTTTCATTCTGCTTGGGAAAAGAACGCCACCCCTGCCAAAGGGAAGGGGTCAGACTATTTGGAGGTTTCGCACTGCAGATCTTTGAAAATCAAGAGATGGGAAGACACCCCCCTCAGTCCTGAAAAGTAAAATGGAGTGGGTCATATTCTTTTTTATTGCGGTCGTCATGTTGAAACCTCATGACAAACAGGGTGTGTGCAGGTGGGGACCCACAACATAGTGTTGTACCTGGCTTTTGGATTGCCCAAGGATCGTCCCCATCTCTGCAGTCATCTCTGGGAGAGCTCCCAGCAGCTGCCCCCTGGTACTCCTCGGCACCTTTTGGTCTCTTTCCTCCTTTGCCTGTTAAACATGGTGGGTTCCATGGATGTGCGGGCTCGAGTCTAGTGATCGGCTCAACTCTATTTGTGATTTCAGCAAGAGCAAAGACAAGACCCCAGAGCCTCAGCTCTGTTCAGTAGCATGCCATTGCCACACCCAAACACACCCCACTTCCAGCAATAGGCTTGTTGACATAACATTACTACGAGATTGGTTCCTTCCAGAGTCCTGGGAGGCTATTGTTCTTGTGCTCCAAGCTCAGACAGTCTCTGGTGTGACATCCCTGGAATGATTCAGTTCCAATTTATTTATTTTGGCCCCGTTCACATGGCGAATTTGCCGCGGGACAGCCACGATTGGATGGCAGATTTTTCAGGCGCGATCACACCACAACATCTGGCAAGTGGAGCGCACCCGTGGCCAACCCGTGGCATGCCGCTGAAAATGCGCAATAAAAAAAAACCTCCTCAAAGGTAGTAGCAAACGGTTTGCCACGGGCTGCCTCCGGACTCCCTTGGTGTGATTGCGCTGGTGCGGCTTTTCCCTCCGGCCGTCTTTGTTGCTGCTCACACGCCGAGGGCTGGAACTGTGGGTTGCCGCCGACGCATCTGATCGCATTGTCGCGCGGCTAATTGCGGCGTTGCAAATAGCCACGCCCCCCCACATTTTCCAGCACGTGTGACCGGGGCCTTTATTTATTATTAAATTTATACCCACCCTACCCAGCCATGGCCGGCTCAGGGCAGCTTACCCCAAAAAACCCACCACAATAAATAATTTAGGCATGAAACAATTCAACATTAAAAAGGTGCTAGCAGACTTACAATTCAAAGTTAAATTTACATTTAAGTTTAAGATGGCGGTCGGCTTTCATTGTACCGTCTTAGTGATTGGCCCAGATCTAACAATACATAACGTTGTCCCTGCCACTTGCTCCACGTGGTTCCTCCTCTTGTCGGTTCTCGTGTCTCCGTCCACGGGCCCTGTGGTTTTTCCTCCACCCCTCCTTGCTTGATGACTCCATGTGCAGCAGCAGCAGCAGCAGCAGCAGCGACGAAAAGGCAAATTATCCATCCTTTGGCATTCCTAGAGCAGGCGGCAGGCTTAGGAGCACTCACGGATCCAGCATTGCTGTTTGAGAAACAGACTGGCCCAATGGGCACGTGTGCCCTGACTCCCCCCTTTCAGCAGACCACGGTAGCCCAGGCTTTTTAAATTTCACAGCTGGATTACTGTAACATGTCCTTGTGGGGCTGCCCTCGAAGAAGACAACCTAGAAACTGCACATGCTGCAGAATGAGGCAGCCCAGTGATTGCCCGGGGTCAGCCTACGGGAGTATATCTCGCCTATTTTAAAACAACTCCATTGGAGGAGGAGCAGGAGGAGATTGGGTTTATACCCCATGGCCCTTCACTACCCAAAGGAGTCTCAGAGCAGCTTAAAAGCTCCTTTCCCTTCCCCTCCCCACAACAGACAGACACCCTGTGAGGTGGGTGGGGCTGAGAGAGCTCTTGACAGAAACTGCTCTTTTTCCAGAACAGCTCTTGTCAGAACTACGGCTTGCCCAAGGTCATCCAGCCAGGTGCAAGTGAAGGAGTGGGGGAATCAAACCCAGTTCTCCCAGATGAGAGTCCGCGCACAGTTTGGTGTAGTGGTTAAGTGTGCGGACTCTAATCTGGGAGAACCGGGTTTGATTCCCCCACTCCTCCACTTGCACCTGGCTGGATGACCTTGGGCAAGCCGTAGTTCGGACAAGAGAGGTCCCTGAAAAAGAGCAGTTTCTGTCAGAGCTCTCTCAGCCCCGCCTACCTCACAGGGTGTCTGTGGTGGGGAGGGGAAGGGAAAGGAGATCTGTAAGCCACTCTGAGACTCCTTCGGGTAGTGAAGGGCCATGGGGTATGAATCCAATCTCTTCCTCTTCCTCCTCCTCCCCCCACTTAACCACTACACCAACCTGGCTGTCCATTTGTTTCCGGGTTCAATTCAGGGTGCCCGTTATGGCCTTTAAATGCCCTTCACACGCATATCTGAGGGGCCGTCTCCTCCTGAATGTCCCCATACAGCAGCCGCAGTCACCAGGCTGCCACCCTGTTGACCCGTTTGCCTGCTTGGCCGCTAACTAACCCATCCCTTGGCATCCACCAGAGGGCATCTCTTACCAATAGTCGAACAGGCTCCCTGAGGAGATGAGGAGGGGACCTCCTGGCTTCAGAAGTTTCTAGAAGGCGCCCCGTTTCACGTGGTAGGACTTTTCGTGAGGCTTCAACTGCAAATATTTTCTCGGGAGGGAAGTCAATAGACTTTTCTTGCATCGTGGATGGCTTTAATTTAGAATTGTAAGCTAATTGGAAGCACAAGGAAATGAGGGGTAAACATATTTTAATAAATGAATAAATGTAAATGATTTAAATGGACTATAATGCTATTGATGGATCTGTTTCTCCTTAGGCAGCTTAGTATCCCTGTTCTGGGTTCTTTGGACATATTTGAGTTCCGTTTCTCCCCCTTTTTAGGACCTTTATAGATCCGGAAACAGATTTTCTGTCGGATGTGAATGACAGTGGATTGCAAGCTCTTCAGGACCTGATTACTAGACTGAACTGTACAGAGCAAGGTAATCCTATTCGAGTATTCATTGTCTACCTCTGCTAGGATTCTTTATAGAAATGCTGAAGGAAAAAAGCACATGTAATGTTGTATACAATGTGAGGCGGGTGGGATGAAGAAGAGGAGGAGGAGGAGGAGATTGGATTTATACCCCATGGCCCTTCACTACCCAAGGGAGTCTCAGAGCGGCTTACAGATCTCCTTTCCCTCCCCCTCCCCACAACAGACAGACACCCTGTGAGGTGCAGGTGGGGCTGAGAGAGCTCTTGACAGAAACTGCTATTTTTCAAAAACAGCTCTTGTCAGAACTACGGCTTGCCCAAGGTCATCCAGCAGCTGCAAGTGGAGGAGGAGTGGGGAGTCAAACCCAGTTCTCCCAGATTAGAGTCCGCGCACTTAACCACTGCACCAAACTGGCTCTATAAATCTACTAGAATGAATAAAATAAAAATAAAAAAAAACTTTCCTTGATACAGATTGAAGCTCAAGGAGCTAAAGAGGACACCCATTCAAATCATAATGGTGTTTCCAGCCACCGGCAGCCCTCGTGGAGCAGAGCTCTCCCCCTTCCCCTCCTCCCTCAGGAACTCCGAGGAGGGTTGGGGAGCCAGAGGAAATCGCCACCCCCTCTTCCACAAAAAAGAAATGCCATTCCATCGGAGGAATTTATCTTATTTTATTTATTAAATTCAACTTGTTAGGCCGCCCTTCCCTGCAAGCAGGGCTCAGCACGGCTTACATCAGAGCAAACACAACAATAATCCAATAAAGAACATTAAAAAACTGCTAAAAACAAGATATTACTCAAGTGATACGTTACATTGTATTGAGACTGAGGTAAGCCGCCCTGAGCCTGCTTGCTGGGAGGGCGGCATATAAATTCAATAAAATCAATCTAGGTAAAGGTTTCCCTTGCTCAAAAGCCAGTCAGATCCGACTCTAGGGTTGCAGTGCTCATCTCCGTTTCCAAGCCGAAGAGCCAGCGCTGTCCGAAGATGTTTCCATGGTCATGTGGCCGGCATGACTAGACGCCGAGGCGCACGGAACACTGTGACCTTCCCACCGAAGCGGTACCTATTTATCGACTTGCAGTTTCTTGCTTTCGAACTGCTAGGTTGGCAGGAGCTGGGGCCAGAGACAGGAGCTCACTCTGTCACACGGCACACTCGGGTCTCGAACTGCTGAACTACCGACCTTCCCCAGCCTGCAGCTCAGCGTCTTAACCACTTGAGCCACTGCAGCTCCAAAATCAATCTATCGATCAATAAGATGATGAGAAATTTCTGTTCCCAGCAGCCCCCTAGGTGGAGGGGGTGCGGAGGAGGGCCGAGGAGGAGGGTATGATGAGGGTGCCAACTTTCACTGTCTTCGACTGCAGGCCTGGCGGAACGTCTCTGCCTTGCAGGCCCTATGGAGAGGTAATAGATCTCGTAGGGCACAGATATTCTCTGTCGGAGAGTTCCACCAGTCAGGGGCCAGGACTGAGAAGGCCCCCCCCGGCCTTAGTCGAGGACAGACGGGCCTCTCTCGGGCCGGGGACCACGAGCAAGTTCTTGATGCTGGAGTGCAGCGCTCTTCCAGGGGCACATTGAGAGAGGCGGACCGAAAGGGAGGTGGGTCCCTGGCCACTAAGGGCCTTGGAGCTCAACACCAGGACTTTGAACTGGCTCCAGTGTTCCACTGGAAGCCAGTGCAGCTCACGCAGCCATGGGTGGATATGTGTCGTCTGCGGGATCCCCGTAAGGACTCGTGCGGCCACGTTCTGGATCAATTGGAGCTTCCGGGTCAGGCGCAAGGGTAGGCCTGCATGGAGTGGATTACAGTAGTCTATTTGTCACTGGATACATCCCAGTATGTCCATCGCATGTGGAAATAATTATTCTGTATAATATCTGCAATGTCTTGTGCTGCCAGATACAAACTTTTTATAAAAAAATGTGGTGCAGTTACTCCAATAACCCTCACCCTACGCTTTTAATTTCTCTCCATATTATATTTTAAGGGAAAGTACCATGGAGGAATGTAATTATCTGGGTCTTTAATATTTTCATCTGACCATAATTGTTTTTGAATAATGCTTTGTAATGGAATCATTTTGAACTTGAGAAACACCTTCAGATCTTTTGGTGGTTTAGGGTTAGTGGTTAAGAGCAGCAGACTCTAATCTGGAGAACCAGATTCAGTTCCCCACTTCCCCACTTGAAACCGGCTGGGTGACCTTGGGCCAGTCACAGCACTCTCAGCCTAAAAATAAGCATAGCTTGCCACCTAGTGGTGCCTAAAAAGAGCTACAACCTCAGGCAGTCAAACAACCCTTTGGGATCTTTTGGTTACTCCACACACAATGCCATATGATAATTTAATTAATTTATTTAGCCTAACACACCTCACAGAGTTGTTGTAAGGATAAAATTGAGAAGAGGAGAATGAGGTAAGCTGCTTTGGGAGAAAGGTGTGTGTGTGTGTAAATAAACAAATAAAGCATTCACTTTGTCATCCCGATCAAAGTTTAAATACAGTTGTATATTTTAAAGTTTATCGTGTATATTTTCCTGTTGTAGATGAGAACAATTCAGAAATCACTGATCTTTGTGAGGTCTCTCGTCACTGGAACGGCAACCATACCTTGTTGGCTCAGATGAAAGATATTGTGAGGTGAGGTAGAGCAAACGTTCTCTTTAGCAGAGCCCCCATGTGCATCCTGTACTTCAAAATTGGGAAGGGGCCCACTTGGCTAAAACTGGGTTCTCTTGAGTCTTCATCAAGGATATTCTGCACTATCCAGCTAAACATCAGTATATAAAACCTCAGTGATAATATGAGTTAAACATGTGTTTTTACAGCCTTAACATAAATCTATGACAAAAATGTGGATTTGAGCACAAATGCAGGTATGTGAACATCTGGATAGGTAATGGAAGTGACTGCTAAAAAGTCATTACTTTAAAAAAAAGCCAAAATCTGAAAGATGAGTGGCTATTCTGGAGAACTCTGTGTGCCTTGGAGGGGAAAGCAGAATTCATAGCAGAATTCCTCTTGCGGCGTCCATCATCTGTATATCTATTTCCCAAGTGTGCCTTCCTATCTGTGGATACCTAAATCCATGGATTGGGGCCATACTTGTACAAAACAGATTTTTCTGCAGACTTGGATGACCCCCCCTCCACGTTTGCAGAAAACTCTGAAATCTACAAAAAACACTTTCTGCCTAACCTACCTCACGGGGTTGTTGTGCAGATAAAAAAGGAGGAGAGGAGAATAACGTTAGCTGCTTTGGTCCTCACTGTGGAGAAAGTTGGTCTAAAAATGAAGATAATAAAAACATTAAAAAGCTGAAGGTGAGAGGTAGATAAAACGTAGATTAGCTGTTGCAGATTTTCCGGGCTGTAGGGCCGTGGTCTTGGCATTGTAGGACCTGATGTTTCGTCAGTAGCTGTGACTGGCATCCTCAGAGGTAGAACACAGAAAGATGGAGTACTCTCTGTGTCAAGGTGAGAAGAAAAATGGTAGGCAGGTAATTTATATCTACTCAGGGAGGTGGGGTAGGGCTGAGTCATTATCTTGTAAGAGTTCCCCAGGCTGTGAACATGCTAATGGAGGAGCTTTCCTGAGGAGGTTCGTTTGTATATGGATTGTTTCCCGAGGAGGTGAATGGCTGAGAAGGAGAGAATGAGGCAGGGGAAGGGGAGTGGATATGGGGCTTCCCAGGGGGAAGGAAAGAGGAAATAGTGTGGGGAGGGAGATAGAGGAGAAAGTGAGGCGCGACTCACAAGTCCTTGAGAGTCCCCTGCCATGCAAGCGGGCCTGGCCAAGTAGCGGGCGCCACACGACTGGGCCGCAGTTTTTCCTAGGTGGAGGCCACCGGGGGTGAGGGGGAGAGAAAGGCAGAAGGGCAGAAGGGCAGATAAAGGTAGATTGGCTGTTGGCTGGAAAGGAGAGAGGGTTGCCAACTCCAGGTTTGGAAATACCTGGCGATTTGGGGGTGGAGCCTGGGGAGGGTGGAGCTTGAGGAGAGGCGAGACCTCAGAAGTGCAGAATGCAACCCCGTTAGGAGAGCCCCAAGTCGGCCGTTGAGTACAAGTGGAGCTGTCTACATCGCAGTGCTGCTGTTGTTGTTGTTAGGGAACTGTAGAGGAGGAGAGACATGCCTAGGAAAGAGTCGAGAGGTAAAAACGTGTGTGTGTGTGTGTGTGTGTGTTTGGAGCAGCACCTGGGGCAGTTCAGAAATAATAAAGAAAGGTCAGAGTTTGTCTCTGGGAGTTGTGTCCTCGCTGAAGCACTGTGCATTGCTCCGGAATCAAGTCCTTCGCCCAGAAGATCCAAGATGTCTGGCAAGCATTGCTGAAGGAGCCAGGAGAGCCCCTCACGGCTTTACAAACACGACCTGGTTCCACTACAATAACCCCCCTGAGTAGCCCCTTAACCCCTGTGGGGCCCACGGGCTGTTCTCCTCGCATCCCTTCCTAAACACAGACACCCCCCCCTGCCTTTGCAGGCAATCCGAGAGGAGAGCAAAGACAGGAACTTTGTCTTTTGCACCTCCTGAAGCAGCTCAGGCATCACAATTGCACTGGCAGCAACCCGGGTGTGGGCTGAGATGCGCTTCCCCTCCCCCGGCAAGCCAGGCGGGCGCTTCACAGAGAGGGGGGAGGCACGGCAGTTTGGGGAGGGTGCCAGGCTGTTTGTGGAGGGTGCTGGGCACTCCTAGCCCCCCCCCCCCGTGCATATGAGCCTGGTATAATGCCATAGACGCCACCCTCCAAAGTATCTATTTCCTCCATGGGAACTGGGCTTGCCAACCTCCAGGTGGGGGCCGGAGATAATCTGGAATTACATCTTGTCTCCAGGTCACAGAGGTCAGTTTCCCTGGAGAAAATGGCTGCTTTGGAGGGTGGACTCTGAGGCATCATATCCTGTTGAGGGTGCTTCCCTCCCCAAACCCCGCCCTCTCAAGGCTCCACCCCCAAATCTCCAGGAACTTCCCAACCTGGAGCTGGCAGCCCTAAGAGGAACTAATCTCTGTTGTTGGGAGAGCAGTTGTGATTCTGGGAGATCTCCAGTCCCCACCTGGAGGTTGCCAACGAGGAGAGAAGGAAGGAAGCAAGGGAGGAGAAGAGGCCATGGGGCTTTCAGGAAGGGGAAAGAGGGAATAATGGGGGAGGGAGAAATGGATGCCTCCTGCAAGTCCTTGCGGGTTCCGGCTGGTACATTCCTGATTCCTAGAACAAAAGATAAATGCAGCAGTTAAGTGAGTCTAAGGTATAATGTGTATTTTTTTTACTCTAGATATCCTGCCTATTTGTCATTCGTGCTAAACTTTTATGTTTTCATTTCTTTCCTTTTAGCAAAATAATATCTCCAGATTTTGCTAGTGCCGATTTCCAAATGGGGAATCTCACAAAGGATTTAGAAACTCTTCAAAAGTCTCTGCATCTTTTCAAAGTTTTGCAAGAAGGCAACAGCACTACTGAGCTGAAAAACCTAAAGCTGTCCAACCAATCGGATAACCAGACTGTGCTGAGACTGGCTGAAATCCTTTCAAGGCAAATGAGGGATGCGCAACACAACGAACGGAGGGATCTTTTTCGCGAGGACGACATCTTTGAAGGCCACAAGCTTGCATCTCTGCTGCGTCAAACTGGCTTCAGCACCTCCTCCTTCTTCCAAATGATGGCGCACCTGACAGAAATCCAAAGCATCTACAACTTAACCAGAGATATTTGGGACCTTGTATCCTTAAACAAGACTAATTTTAAGGCCACAAAGTTATGGCGAATCCTGAAAATGATAACTTCCCAGAAAATTCTTTACGTGCCTGAGAAAGTCAGGAGGTACTTAACTGCATTGCAAGAGTTGCCTTCGCTGTTTGCAAATTCCCTACTGAAGCCTACAACAATGGAAAACTTTCCTGAGAAGATCCTGGCCCTGCAGAAGATCTTTGACATTGTTGCAAATGTTAATGCGAGTCGCAATTACCTGCTGATTTCCTCCTTGACTGACCTGATGCAGCAGATCCAAAATTCGATTAATGCCTACCAGTGGAACGAATTCAATACCTATTGGCATATTGTCGAAAAATTAAGATCTGCGAAATGGAATGATACAGACATCATTGCTTATGGGCAGGTTCTAGATATCCTCCACAAGAATCTGTACATTCATCGCAATGGCTCTGGCCTTCTTTTAAATAATGTACTGGAACAATTGACTGCATTTGCGAACGACTTACTAGAAGACTACAGTGGAGACGCCCTTGGTGGAGGAAACATCTCAGTGGTTTTAGACACCATCGTGAAAACCCTACATGTTTTAGAAGACCTGGAGGAAAAGTACATCAGTGCATTAATCACCACTAACCCCCTAATGCGTGCCGATGCTCATAATGAAACGATCCAAAGATTGTTTGAAATATTCAGAGAAGGAGTGGATATACTTTCTGATCCGAGACTGCTGGAAGCATCCTATATTAAAAAAATGGATAACCTCTTCAGTTTCTCACGCTTGTTAGATCTGCAGGACTTTCACAGGACTCCAGTAAGGCATGATGCAATAGTGGAGGGGAATGTGTTAGAACTCTGGTATTTAACCTTGAGCCCTTTCGTAAGGGAAGATATTCAAGATAATGAGAGGCTGCTGAAGTGCACCGTCGAAGACTTTCATCGCATTGCCGTTGAGGTCTTGTTTAGTAACACCACATTAAATGAGGCTGTGGCGGGAAGCACCTGCAGCTTCCTTTTTACCTCCATGAAGATGGAAAATAGGACAGTGATCAACAATCAAACCTTTACTGAAGTGTTTCAGCTTGTGCTACGAAACTTAAAATCACTGCCAACTTTTTCTGCATTCCAGAAAAGCAAATATTTAACAGATGAATTTCAGTGCTTTGTCAAATCACTAGAATTATCATCAGGGTTTCTTTCCAAACTGGATAAATTTATTAACTACAAGAATCCATGGATACAAAAGATCCATAAAAGTCTGATGAGCATCTCAAGCAAGCTCTCCCAAAGTAATCAGACCTGCCAGGTACCACTGTTTGGCAATATGGCTGCTATAAACGAATCTTCGGCATTTCACATCTTGATTCCTTTTGTGATGAATGATTCAGAACCTTATTCTCACCATTTATCTGTCAGTCAGTCCGTCCAGGAGCGAGCGCTTGCGTCTTTTATGTCACTGCTCAATGAATCTGACAGGACTACTAGCATATCAAAGATGTTAGAAAACAGGGGGAAAGCTGTCAACCATCCCCAGTGGAAGAATTTATCAGCTGTCTTGAGTAAAGTTGCAAATGTATTGAACACCACGCAAAATGTGACAGATGTACATCTACTGGAAATTATTAGAAAAGCTCTAATTCTTGTCAGCACAGCATTACCTCCAAATTCAGCTGAAACTCATCCGTTTGTTGAAAACCTAGACTGGGGAATGAATGCCTCCTATTTTGAAGACATGCTTGATTCATTAAAATTGCTCAATGTAACCTCTGAGACAGATTATAGAACTTACTTAAAAAAATATTTTCATACTTGGTCACCGTATGTTGATGCCCTTGCTCAAAGCCTTTTCCACCGTAACCCTCAGTGGGAAGACACCAAAAAGGCCTTAAATTTAACCAAGTTTATTTGGAATAATTTGCTTCTAAATGAGACAGGTTTTAGTTTAGCAGGGATATGGGAAGCAGTCAAAGAGGTGGTGTCGGATGCAATTTCACTGTTTTCCGTGGACACCAGACATGAAGCCACATTGCAAGTTTCAAATTTTCTGCTAAAATCTATTGCCACAAAAAACATGCTGGGACAAATTTTATCCATTCAGAATGTGTACAACAGTACTGCAAATGTCAGCATGAATAAAAACCATCCTTTCGCTGTTCATCTTTCAGAAATAATGCAGATAATCCAAAACATAACAAATCAACCATTGTGGAAGGAGCCGAGTGACCTTGAACACGAGCAGTTAAGATCAATGAAACCAAATAGTTCAAATCCAGATGCATACAGACATTTTTTAAAAATTTTGCATAACCATTTGATCACACAGCATAATGTTTCTGGTCTTCATTTCAGTCTAGACCTGTTTACTAGTCTTTTGTCTCACGTGCTACAGAAGGGTGCTGAAGAAAACCTCCAAAATAACATCTCAGAAACATTAAACACTGCCCTCAGGGGTCTATTGTTTGATAAAGATTTTGAGCATCGATTTGACATCAGCCCATTAGAAACACTGATGAAAGAAAGTAATAAGACCCTCCAGAGAATATATGACACCTTGAAGGGAGGGACAATCTTATTGGCTGACCGCGGACTGGAAGAAGCAACTGATAAAGAAAGAATTGCAGCCCTATATGACTTTTCACACCTTCTGTTTCCAGGGGTGTTTAACCAGTCCTTGTTGGGTCAGGGGGCTTCTTCAGGAGCAAAGATCGTGGACATCCTGCATTTATCTCTGAGTCCTTTCTTAGATGTGAGGAACCGCAGTGGAAAGCCACAGAACTGCAGTGCGAAGGATGTCATTCACATAGTACTTCAGATGCTACTTAAAAATGCCACACTTCATGAGTCCTTCAGACAAAGCGATTGTGAAATCCTTTTCACTTCCAGGGATTTTGAAAACAGAACAAAGCCTAATCAAACGCTGACTGAATTGTTCCGCTCCTCAATAAGGAATCTAAATCTGAGTCCAGAGTCAGCAGATCTTTACAAAAACGAGGATATTTCTAGCACATTGTTATGCATCATCAGGTCACTGCAGTTTTCTTCGGGCGTGCTATCAAAAATGGGCATCCTCTTTAATTTTAATAATTCCTGGATACAACAAATTTATAACTCTTTAGCAGCCATCTCTGAAGCGCTGCCCTCAAACAATTCAACATGCCTCATCCCAGTCCTTGATGGAATAAATGATGTAGTCAATTATTATCCTTTAAAGATTCTCCCTCCTTTCCTTGCGCGTGGAACAGACTTTCATTCACAAGATCTCACTGACTGGCTAGTGGATTGGAATCATTTGTTAGTGTTCTATGGGCTATTGCAGGACAAGGTCCACCAGTATTCTGCCATGAGTGGAGCTCTGGAGATGGCCGAGGACGTCCCCAGCCCTTCTGCGGTGGACAATTTTTCACAAGTCTGGAACTTGGTCTCCAAGAGGAGCCTGACAGAAATGGAGGGTGCAAAAGGCAGCTTGAGACGAGTGGAAAGGGTTCTCGCCCGCAATGAGTCAAATCCTTTCCTGGAGGCCAGCATTTATATTCTGAAGAAAGCCATGCTTCTAGATAAGTCGGAGAATCTGAAAACAGACCAAGATCCAAATTTCCATGCAAACAAACCAAGTATGGAATCTGTATTTGAACATTCCACCAAGATCACGGAAATGCTTTTCAATGAAAACTTACTCCAGAATGAGGTGGGGAAGGCATCGTCTCCAAACAATTTGATTGCACAGTAAGTTAGCAGGGTTTTTTAAAAAATATAATTGCCATATTGTGTTGTGGAACTTGGCATATTAGCACTTCCCAAACTTTGACATCTTAAGTGATGAAAAAAATAATTGCCCGTCAAAAGACAAGTGGCAGAAGCAACCTCCATTCACGTGAGGGTTTTTTTTTTGCTTATTCTCCCATTCCCTAGCCCCCTGTGACCCCCAAAACTGGTTCTTGAGGAGGAGGGGACTTTCCAGAGCAACATTCCAGGGGCAAAGGAAGACTGCAGAAGGGAAAGAATATCCGTGGGCCTCACCCTGGGCTAGCAGATCATGGGAGCGAAGCCATTTTGTTTTCTGAGAGTGTTCAGTCTCATCCTCATTGAGGAGGAAAACAATGGCAGAGAAAGTGGTGAGGCCTGTGGGTTGATAGCTTGTAAAAACAAAGTGGCGTTGAGATTTTTAAAAACACCAGTAATCAACAAAAAAGGGCCTAGTCTTGGAGCGCGGCTGCTGTCCGGGAGGCGGATTTCGCTAGTCCTGCCTTGTGGGACGAGGGGAACTACAATGCTGGCAGCCACATTTGGGATCCGCAGGCCAGGCAGCCAAATCCTAAGAGGTCTAAGACCGCTTGTGCCAAGCATTTCAATCCTCCTCCTGTCTGTGATATGCTAAGACTTCGCTTGGCCTTGGCTGCAGTTCATTCATTAAGATGGAAGCCTTGTTAGACCCAAACTGATGTGTCACGTGCTCCTTCTAGGGGTCTCCCATGGGACTTACTTCCTAGGAATGATGCTTAGGCCCTAAACTTTACCCTTACAGCAGCAATCCTAAACACAATAAGTAACAGTGAGATTTATATCTGAGTCACTGTTGTTTGGGCCACGGTGGCTCAGAGGTTGAGACGCTGAGCTGCAGACCGGAAGGTCGGTAGCTCGGCAGTTTGAGACCCTAGTGGCATGTGATGGAGTGAGCTCCCATCTCTGGCCCCAGCTCCTGCCAACTTAGCAGTTCGAAAGCAAGAAACTGCAAGTAGATGAATAGGTACCGCTTCAGTGGGAAGGTCACAGTGCTCCGTGCACCTCGGCTTCTAGTCATGCCGGCCACATGACCATGGAAATGTCTTCGGACAGCGCTGGATCTTCGGTTTAGAAACAGAGATGAACAGAGTTGGATTCGACTGGCTTTCGAGCAAGGGAAACCTTTACCCTGTTGTTTAGGACCATGCAGCCTTTGAGCTCTATGCATTTGTAGTTCTGTTAACTTTCTGGATAGGACAGGAGAACCCTGTCCCCCATGGCCCAATATCCCTAAAGGCCTGGAGCAGTGTTACGTCTAAGCTGAGTAAGTGTGAGCTAGCTCACAGTTTTTTAGCCTCCGGCTCACAGATTTTTGTCTTAGCTCAGGAAGGATGGGGCTCCAGAGCAAACTAATTTATGCAGAAGCCAAATCATTCACTCACAACTTTAATGCCAGGAGCTCACAAAGTAGGATTTTTGCTCACAAGACCCCACAGCTTAGTGGGAGCCTTGGCCTGGAGAGCGGGTGGGTCTAGGTAGAGACATTTGATAAAGAACATCGTTTGAGTCCAGTCAGGCACCTTTAAGCCCCACAGAGTTTAATTCTGGGTAGAAGCATTTGTGTGCGTGCTCACCAAGTGGGCATGCACACAAAGACCTATACCCAGAATTAAACTCTGTGAGTCTCTAAGGTGCCCAACTGGACTCAAACGATGTTCTGCTGCTTCAGACCAAAAGAGCGACCCCCACCTGAATCTAACTTGATAAAGTGTTGGGCCGGGAATGAAGAAAACATTTCCACAATTTTTTGTAACGAGTATATCCTGTTTGGGTTTCTGAAGTCGATCATTTCCACAGCTGTGTGAAAACCTTTATTGATTTATTTTCACTCTTAAGATGTGCAAACCAAGTCCCTGATCTTGGCTGGTGGTTTCAGAGGGCGGCCATATTTGTCTGCAGTAGGGTGGCTGGCTTGGAATCCAGGAGCCCCCCCAGAGGCACCAACAAGATTGGGGGGTGGGGTGGGGGTGGGGGGTGTCATGAGCTTTCAGGAGTCAAGGCTCCCTTCGTCAGGTTGCCTTGGCTGGGGGGGGGCTTCACCCCACCCTCCCAATCAAACGACTCCAGTGGTCTTTCTTGCAGGACTTTGCTCGTCATTCATTCAGTAATATGTGTTTTTTTCATACTTGGGAAGATGACCCGTTCTTTTTTGTGTTCCAGGTTTTTGTCTTCAGAATTTGAGAACATCTTCTTAAAAATGTTGCCCGATAATGGCTTTCGATCATACATGCTTTGTCTGATGAACATGACTGATGGGCCAGACAGTGAATTATCAGGTGATATTTATTTCTAATCCCTCACCCGGAAAGCCCAGGCTCCCCTGATATCTTGTCAGGTCTTGGAGGTGAAACGGTCTTGGTCCGTATTTGGATGGAAGACCTCCGAGGACTATCAGGGTCACGCGACACAGGGGCAGGCGATGGCCAACCCCCTCGGAACGTCTCTTGCCTTGGAAACCCCACCAGGGGGTCTCCATAAATCAGCCGTGGCTTGACGGCACGTCCCACTCCCACCACTTATTTCTACAAAGTTCTCGTTGCTCCTGAAACATTCCTCCATGTGCAGCTTAACACTTTTTGGGGTGTCCCTTGCACAAGACATGTTTCCAAACAAGCTGTGAGCAGATTTGTTTATTTAAAACATTTATTACCCCCCCCCTGTTCCTAATGGAGCTTGAGATAGCTTACAACATAGATAAAATACAACAAATTAGGTTACATGAAAAACATGAAACCAAGAGTTTACAATCACAAGTGAGGAGGACTGCTTTGTTCAAATGCAGTCCTAAATAAAAGTGTCTTCAGCTACCTCCTGAAGGTCAAAAGTGAGGGGGCCGGGCACATCTCCTTGGGGAGGTTGTTCCAGAATCGTGGGGCCTCCAGTCAACTCACTCTTGAACACGGGCTCTCTTGACAGAAGGTTTATTGAAGAGATCTGAGATACTCTAAAGGTGAACTCTTTGTCAGGAATGGGGGGGGGGGGGGAACAGGGCCCCAGAATATAAATAAAACCCACCCATTCACAGTCTTATCAACGTCAAGGACATTCCCATGGGAATACTGCCAAGGTGCTGCTTGAGAAAGTGGTTACTGCATATTGCCTCCCTGAACTACAGACATTCACACAGACTCCCTCCCTCCCACAGCTTCCCTCCCTCCCACCAGGAATGTCAGGGAGGGTGAGCGATGAGCAGGCAGCTGGTTACAGTGATGCCTACACCTGTGGTGTTAATAACCTGCTTCAATGGAACCTGCACCCCGTCCCTCTCCCCGCTTGCCTTCTGGGAAGGCGAGCGGGGAGAGGGACGGGGTGCGGGGGTTCCATCAAAGCAGGTTATTAACACCACAGGTGTAGGCATCACTGTCGAAGGCGAACCCGAGTCTAACACAGCCACCGGACAGGCCTTCTCTTTGTACCCACCAGACAAGCTTCTTTGATCCATGGGACACAGTCAGGCGGGCCCCTCCCAGGGATTTCCTAGGCAGGAACGTACGGGGGAAGAGGGTCCTTCAGTTACCCTGGTCCCAAGCCATGAACGGCTTTAAAGGTCAAAACCGACACCTTGAATTGGGCTCAGGCATGGATCCTCTAGCCAGAAACACACACATCTTCAGTGTTTCCATCCCACGTGGCCAGACTGCAGGTGTGCAGTGTTTTCACAGCAGCATTCTGTGGCTCAAATGATGCTCGTCACGTGGCATTCCTTTGGGTCTAAGAGATTTTTGGTAGTGCTGCCTTCAGCCAGCTACGTACCAAACTCAGAAATCAGAAACCAACCATGGGGGGGAACAACCTCTGCTTCGCCCCCACTTCTGTCCTCAGCACCCCAGTAGTGAAAGCACCTGGACAGTTCTGTGTCTGTAGGATTTTCCCCCCTTTATTTAGGTGTTGTTGTTTTCCCATACAGGTGTTACTTGTGTTGGACTTTCGGACAACATTCATGGTGTCTAATTCTGAGCTGGGCCATAAAGTGTGGACCAGAGAATCCACACAATTGAACCAGGAACTGACCGGGTGGCGGGTTTTTTTTTTCTTTGCACAATGCCCTGGGGACTAGAAGAATCCCAAAACCATGGAGCTAATGTGTGCTTTTCAGAAAAAGAAGTATGCCACTGAGATCTTGGCCATTTGTGGGGTGTTAGGAGACACACACACACACCCCAGCCAACATTGCTGAGGACTGCAAGCCTCAGGTTATGGCAGCTGGGAGGGGGGGGCTAGGAGAGACGGACCAAAAATGTAAAAGGTAGGAAGGGAAAGAAAATGGGAATGGGGATGGGCAGTAAAGGAAGGAGGGTAAGCTGGAGCTGGGGGAGGGGAGAAGAAAAAGGTGAGTCAGTGAAGGAAGAGGGGGCAGGGGCTGCCAAGGGAGGGAGACAAAGCAGGTCGGCAGGTAAGAATGTGGGAGGGAGAGATGGAGGAAGGGAAAGGCTGAAGGCCCCGCCCCAGGCCAAGAGCGAGCGGGCAGAGCGAAGAGGAAGAGCCAGAGGGAGGAGGGGAACAAAACCCCTCACTGCAGGACCTCACTGCAGGACCTCATTTGCAACATTCAGATGCACACTTGCCCTAAAGAATAGCCGTAGGTCCCAGGGCCTCGAATCATCGGTTCCAAAGCCCAGGTCACAAAAGAGACATTCTTGAAGTCTTGTGCACGAGGTGTATGGAAGTGTTCAGTGCCTGGGAAGACCTTCATGCGATGGTTGTTTTTCTTAGCAGAAGATGCTGCTGAAAAGATTATTTTTGCCCACCGTGACGCCTCCAGGAACTACTCCTCGGTCTCAGAAATCCTGATGTTTAGAGTGAGTAGATTGATGCTATATGTCCTACAACAACTGAAGGCCTCCCTACAACAACAACTTCCTCTTCCTCTTCCTCTTCCTCTTCTTCTTCTTCTTCTTCTTCTTCTTCTTCTTCTTCTTCTTCTTCTTCTTCTTCTTCTTCTTCTTCTTCTTCTTCTTCTTCTTCTTCTTCTTCTTCTTCTTCTTCTTCTTCTTCTTCTTCTTCTTCTTCTACCTGTGCTTGCCTCTTTACATTCTCATCTGCAGTTCCACAGAGTGAAATCACTGAAATGTGACTTTTGGAGGGGCTGAGGGACTCGGTGTGCAGGAAATGGATGAAGCCCCTTCCCCTTTGTGGTGTGTCTGTCTCCATCCAAAATCTCCTTTCAGATCTGCTTTTCCCCAAGAGAAGCAACAGTCAGGATTTTGTTGCAGGAGTTCCACTGATTGGTGGCAGTGGGGGTGGGGAGTCTGGCAACCCTACTGTACTCTGATCCCTCACGCTGCCAGGTGGCCTAAACAGAACCGACGGGAATTCTGATTCCCAAAAGCTCACCCCCCCAACCCCCCCCCCTTGTTGGCCTCTGAGGTGCTGCCGGGCTTGGGTCTTGCCCTTCTGCTCCAGGCCAAAATGGCCGCCCTCTGAAACTCTCTTCATGGATGTTCATGGACTGAAGGGAGTGGCTGGTGCTTGCCTTTTCAGAATGCCGGGATAAAAAGATCTGCTTAAGGAGGCCTGAGCACGTGGCAGGCCCCAGTCTTGGTGGTGGGAATGGCCTTTGTTGGTCCTGCATTACCTCAGAAACACACTCGGTGTAGATTCATACATTCAAACAGTAGGCATCTTGCCATACACCAGCGCAGTGTTTAAAACCGCATCTTCATGGATAATGGCACCTTTCTGATATCCTTGACCCAGGGGAGAGTCCGGGGCATTTCGGAACGGCCTCCGCAGCCCCCAGCCAGTGGCGAGGGTCTGCTGCTCTCCCCCACTCAAGTGGGACTCTGCTATCAGTTGGGCCTGGGAAAGGGCCCTGCGAAGGCTGGCCAGGCCTCATCCCTTGTAGCTGGAATAGGGTTGCCTGAGCCAAAACGGTTGGTCCTGAAAGCCCCCCTTCAAGTAGCTTCCTGGATTTCGTGGGTATCCCACCCACTTCTAAATGGCTTTTGTGCCTCTCTTGTTTGCATTTGAAGCTTTCCCGCCTCCAGAACCTGACCTCGGCCCTTTGTGACGCTGAGTGGCTCCGAGCAGCGCAGCAGGCCTGCCAGCTCCCCGACCTCAGTTTTGTGGACTTGTGCAGACAAAGCCGGTTCCACAGGAAGCTTCTCCATGGTGTTGCCCTAAGTGACCGTCTTGCAACCAGCCTGATTAATCATGGGCGCATGCCTGGAGAACTTCGAGAAATACTCGTCGGAGACCCCACAAAACTCCAGCAGGAGATTAAGTGGTAAGGCCTTCCTGAAAGCCCCCAGTAGAAGCATTACGTTGTTCTCTGAAAAAGGTACACATTTATGCCTCTCTTTATTTTGGCAGGTTTCGAGAAAATGTCCCACAGTTTCATTATCTCCAAGATATCCCTCGGTATTTGGCTTCTGTGAATTCTCTCGTGAATCACACAAAGACTGCAGCCCATTCCAAGAAGCAAGGTAATTTTTTCATGCGCTTCCTCCTTTAGAATGGTGGGTTTGCTTTAGACGTGGTTGGGAAAGCGTATCAGAGTGTTGCCAGCATTTCCGAAACTGTATGAGTGATGGAATTCTGGACAGGGCTCTGTGTACCAGCAGTTCCAGTTCTCCATGACAAAAACTACATCTCTCCACTGAAACGTTTAGGACCGGTCAAAATGGGTAGCCACATTAGTCTGTCTGGAGCAGGAGAAAAGAGCCGGAGTCCAGGTTTGACAAAAGTGGAAAACTGATGTTTAGTAAAGATTGGTTGAGAAGCAGATGTAATCCATTGCTGAGGGAAGGCAATTAGCTGAATCATCTGTGCGCTCTGAGAATTTATTTGTAGCATTTTGGAATAAAATATGAGGAAAAATCTAACTAGTGGAATGTATTTCAGGTGTTTTTTGTTTTGGTCCAAGGATATGTTTTATTAATATTGTGGTCTTTTTAATCTTAATTATACATTTGTATGTGAAACATTTTTAAATAAACACACCAAGAAAGGGGTCTACCGAACACCAATGACTTGGCAACAGTGATCCATGCAATGGTCACTTTGAGACTGGACTACTGTAATGCTCTCTACATGGGGCTGCCCTTGTTGCAAATTCGGAAGCTACAGCTGGTGCAAAATGCAGCAGCCAGGCTCTTCATAGGCCTCCCAATGCGGGAGCACATTCAGCCTGCGCTGAAGGCATTGCACTGGCTACCAATAGCATACCAACTTCACTTCAAGGTGCTGGTTCTTACCTTTAAAGCCCTTTATAGTCAGGGACCTACATACCTGAGGGACTGTCTTTCCCTACATGTTCCCCAGAGATCACGCTAACTACAACCGGGGCCAGGGCTTTCTCGGTGGCGGCTCCTCTCTGGTGGAATGAGCTCCTGGAAGAGATCAGGGCCCTGTGGGACCTTATGCAGTTCTGCAGGGCCTGCAAGACGGAGCTCTTCCACCAGGGTTTCAATTAGGAGCCGCCCCGGGGGAAGAACCCTGTTCCCTGCAGTCATCAAAACAGCTTGAGCCAGCCGCATAATGTTAGATCGGGGTCGACCATGAAGAAAGCACTGAAGTTTGAGCGCCATCTCAAATGGAATTTTAAGTCATTATTTTTATAATAGCACCTGGATCATCACCTGTTAGCACCTTTTAGTGTTGAAATTGCTTGTATGGTTTTTAGGACTGTTGATATTATTTATTGCTGTTTTATTCTTCTGTATGCCGCCCTGAGCCGGCCGTGGCTGGGGAGGCGGGGGGGGGGGGTATAAATAAAATAAATAAATAAATGTTCACCGGCTTCAAGTGCCTTCAGGTACCAGAGTACAAGAGAGGACAAAATGGGGAAAGGACCTCTGAATTCTCCCATGTTTAAATCTTCCACACGGTGCCACTCTTGAGGCATTTTCCTCAGCTTTTGCCAGGCCGGCTGCAGATATTCAGTGCGGGCAGTGTTTCTAGAGGACAGGATCAAACTGTAATATCTAATTTTTGTTTTGTGATGTTTTCAAGATACGATAATAGATCTGTTCAGAGACGTTGACCGCCTCAAGGAGGATCTCAGAAATGTGGTGGGAATGTCTGTGGAAGGCACAGAGGCTCTACTCGAAATGCCTCTTCCAGAAAACAGGACGGAGGTAAATGTGTTATGACGTCCCACCCTTCATTTACCTCTCACACCCGGGGCCTGGAGCCTAAGTGTGTGTGTGCACGCACCCCTAAGGATGTACATGAATAAAACATGGATTCTGATCACTTGACTGAAACAAGGCAGTGACATCTTTCTTACTGAGACATCCTCCTGAAATTGGTGTCTGTCCCATGTCCTGGGGGGTGGCTGCTCCTGGTGGGTGGGTGGGTGGCCCTGCAGTGAGAGAAGAAGAAGAGATTGGATTTATACCCCATGGCCCTTCACTACCCGAAGGAGTCTCAGAGCGGCTCACAGACTCCTTTCCCTCCCCCTCCCCACAACAGACACCCTGTGAGGTGGGTGGGGCGGAGAGAGCTCTTGACAGAAACAGCTCTTTTTCAAGAACAGCTCTTGTCAGAACTACGGCTTGCCCAAGGTCATCCAGCCAGGTGCGAGTGGAGGAGGAGTGGGGAGTCAAACCCAGTTCTCCCAGATTAGAGTCCGCCTGCACTTCACCACTACACCAAACCAGCTCTCACATCTGCATTCCGGGTGTGAAGCAGTGCAGTGACCACAGTGGCTCTGCCCTGTCCTTGCTTACTGACCTTTTCCTCCCAGGGTCTGGGAAGGCGCTGAGGGCACCGTTGGCTGCCTGCCCCGGGCTGCAGTGGGTGGGTGGGGGGTGACAGGAGGAGAAGATCCAGGCGGCACCCACAGTCTCCCCCTCCCCTCCAAGGGCAGTCTAGTCTGGTGAACAAGCGGGTCACGTCCTGGAGATCAGGGCAGGGCTTGGGCACGCCTTGTGTGCTCACCTCCCGTGTCAGCATTGTAGCTCATGATGCCTCTTATGCAGGGCTCATTCCGTAGGAAAAGCGGTGCGGGAGCTCATGTGCATAACTCATTAGCATATGCCACACCCCCTGACAAAGGGCAGGCATGCAAGCATGTCTGGGTCCCCTGCCTGATCTTCTCCAGGTGCCCCAAGGCTGCGGGGCACCTGGAGAAGATTGGGCAGGGAACCCAGGCATGTTTAGAATGCCTTTCCCTTCCCTTCCCTTCCCTTAACCCCCCCCCACTTCCCCGGGTTTCTCTGCAAAAGTGGAGAGGCTCAGGGGGGAAAAGGGGGCATGTCTGCCTGCCTCCCCCTCCCCAGCCAACCCGACGCCGCGGGCTGGCTGGGGGAGCAAAGGGGAGGCCTGCAAGCATGCCTGGGCTCCCTACTCCCGGGATCGTTATTCCCGGAATGCCGTTCCGGCTCATTCCCCCTCGAAATGACCCCTGCTCTTATGAAGGACGAAGGGCTGCCGTGGCAGTGCGACATTCGGCCCAGCGGGAGAAATTAGGTGGCTTCCACCTGCCCTCGCTCTCCCCTAACCTGCCTCTCTTCTTGGCCAATGCAGCTCTTCTTTGAGATGCTCCAGCTGGAGTCCTGTCCAAACGGTGGCGCTGATGCTAAACTGGGAATCGTAGCCGAGGATTTCTGCAACCTGCCGCTCACAGAAAGGGTCCACAAATCCTATGTCTTGGGGATCACACTTCTGCGATACTTGGATGTATACAACTTCATGTACAAGGTTTGTCTTGGACTTTATGCTGCATCTCTCTCTCCCACTCTCGTTCTCTGTTTTCTAGGCCGGTGTGCATCAATCACATGCAGGCATTTTGCTTTCTTTATCAGACTCTTTATATCCTGCTCCTCCTCCAGGACAGGATATTAGGCAGAGGCCCTGATTCTCCTCTCCTCCTCCGGATCTTCACCGCCAGACCGTGAGCTGGGGAGAGCTGAGGGGGAGTGCTCCCCCCCCCAGCCACCCAGAGAGCTTCCTGCCTGCGTGGGAATCGCACCTCTGCTTTCTGACCTCTCTGTCCCGCACGCTGACCCCCATGCCCTGCTGGCTCTTTCAAGGGCCCCGGTATCAAGGACCCCACCTTGGAAGCTCCGTTGGGAAGGGCCGGGGGCCCTGGGAGCAGCCAGGATAAGAACATAAGAACTTCAGAGAAGCAGTACAAAGCTCCAGACCCTGCTGGGAAGCAGTACAAAGCTCCAGTTGTGGCCGGTGTCCTCATAAGAACATCAGAGAAGCCCATGTTGGATCCGGCCAGTGGCCCATCCAGTCCCACACTCTGTCACACAGTGGCCAGAAATACCAGGTCCCATCAGGAGGTCCACCAGTGGGGCCAGGACACCAGAAGCCCTCCCACTGTAGCCCCCCCCCCCCAAGCACCAAGTATACAGAGCATCACTTGCCCCAGGCCGAGAGTTCCTACCTATACCTTCTGGCTAATAACCATTGATGGACCTCTTCTCTTAACATCAGAACATAAGAGAAGCCAGTGTTGGATCAGGCTAGTGGCCAATCCAGTCCAACACTCTGTCACACAGTGGCCAAAAATAGCAGGTGCCATCAGGAGGTCCAGCAGTGGGGCCAGGACACCAGAAGCCCCTCCCACTGTTGCCCCCTCCCCCAAGAACCAAGTATACAGAGCATCCCTTGCCCCAGACCGAGAGTTCCTACCTATACCTTCTGGCCAATAGCCATTGATGGACCTCTGCTCTATATAAGAACATAAGAGAAGCCAGTGTTGGATCAGGCCAGTGGCCCATCTAGTCCAACACTCTGTGTCACACAGTGGCCAGAAATACCAGGGGCCCTCAGGAGTTCCACCAGTGGGGCCAGGACACCAGAAGCCTTCCACTGTTGCCCCCCCACCCCAGGCACCAAGAAGACAGAGCATCCCTTGCCCCAGACTGAGAGTCCCTATCCATCCCTTGTGGCTAAGAGGCACTGATGGACCTCTGCTCCGTATGTTTATCCAGTTCCCTCTTGAAGCCGTCTCTGCTTGTAGCCGCCGCCACCTCCTGTGGCAGTGAGTTCCACGTGTTCATCACTCTTTGTCTGCCCTGGAGGGGACTGGAGCTGCCAGGTTTCCTGAAAACAGGGGGCGGGGGTGGGGGAAGGGCTGGGAAATAAGGAGGTTGCTGGCAGGTGATGAGGTGGGGTGGGGCTTCTTGGCGACAGGTGAGGGCACCAGGTAGGTCAGGGGAAGAGGCTGGCTGGGCCTGGGACTTCTTCAGGGATGGAGCCTTGTGGATATGGGGTAGGATGAAGGGCACGGAAGGTGCTCGTAAGTTGCCGAGGCCCTTGCTCTGTCCTAGGGTTCCCAGGTCTGGGTTGGAAAATACCTGGAGACTTTGGGGGTGGAGCCAGGAGAGGGCGGAGTTTGGGGAGGGGCCTCGGCCTGGTCCAATGCCACAGAGCCCCCCCCCTTCGAAGCAGCCATTTTCTCCAGGGGAGCTGATCTCTGGCAGGTGGGGATCAGCTGTAACAGCAGGAGATCTCCAGGCCCCACCTGGAGGCTGGCAACCCTGCTTTGTCCTGAGAAGGAAGACACCCCCGAGACCTGGAGTCCCCACCGCCTCGCCCTGCGGAGCTTCCTCAGGACCGTGAAGCCGCTTGGGGACTGACCCCACCGGCAGGCGTTCCGCCGTGTCGCCTGGTGGGCCCGTTGGCCGGGGCGGGCAAGGACTCGAGCAGCAGTCGGCCGAAGAAGGCAGGAGGCCCCTTCAGCCCTGAGGAGAGGCCGTGGCTCTCCTGCCTTGCCTCTCTTTGGCCTTGGAGGCCTTTGAAAGGGTTCCTGTGTCAGCCACAGCCAAGTCCCCGTCAAGAGACAGCAACTGCCTCCGTGGGGGAGCTGCCGTGGCCTGAGGCGTGTGGATGGGGGCTGGCTCCAGGGCCCCGGGCAAAGCAGGTTTCCTGCAGGGGGCACCATGGGTCGGAAAGGGTTCCCCAGGGGCTCTACTCGCGTACCCGCCAGAGCCCCTGGGGAAGGTGACCCCCTCTCCTCAGATGGGAGGGAACGTGCGGGCACAAAGGAACCGCAGATCTCTCTCTCTCTCTCTCTCTCTCTCTCTCTCTCTCTCTCTCTCTCTCTCTGTGGGTCTCACGTGTGGGCTGTGGTTCTGCTGCCCCGCTGGAGTGCCTGGCGTCTGCTGGATTCTCCTGCAGTTCCTTCCTTCCCCCTCGCCCACCCTGAGGCCTTGTTTCTCGAGGCCTCGCCTTGGACAAGCGTGTTGGGTCAACTGTTGGGTCAACTGTCGCTGCCTCTCCTCTCTTCCAGATGCTTTTCCCCAAGGAAGTGCAGGCCTCTCTGGACAAGGTGTCTGGCCTCCTCCACGAGCTGGACCACTTCAAGAGCCGGGTGGAATCGGACGTGCGCCCGCTCTTGGACGCCATCCATTCCCTTAAGAAGATGCGTCAGTCAAGAAACGCCCCCCTTTCCAAGGTTTGTTCTCTCCGCCAGCAAGCGGCAAGCAGGACCTATTCCCCCACCCTACCCCGTTATGTGAAAAATGAGTTCTCTCATCGAGCCTCCGTTTAAAATACCAAATACACTCAAAGGCCCCAACACCGTGGGTAGCGTTTGTCCAGAGCAGACAGGAGCAGATAGTAGGAAGTTTCCCACACAGGAGGTCTGAAAACACAAGACAGCCAAGCGGGAATAGTGGGTAGATCCAGGTGGTCAGCCGTGTTGGTCTGAAGCAGTAAAACAAAATTTAGAGTTAGCTAAATTAACCAAGGGCTGCAGTGGCTCAGTGGTTAAGACGCTGAGCTGCAGACCAGAAGGTCGGTAGTTTGGCAGTTTGAGACGCGAGTGCCGCATGACGGAGTGAGCTCCCGTTGTCTGGCCCCAGCTCCTGCCAACCGAGCAGTTCGAAAGCAAGAAATTGCAAGTAGATAAACAGGTACCGCTTCGGTGAGAAGGTCACAGAGTTCCATGTGCCTCAGCATCTAGTCATGCCGGCCACATGACCACGGAGAAGTCTTCGGACAGCACTGGCTCTTTGGCTTAGAAACTGAGATAAACACCGCATCCCTAGAGCAGGGCCGGCTCGAGGTGTTTCTGCGCCCTGGGTGATCACCTAGTTCGCCTAGCGGGCGAGCCAGCCCTGTCCTAGAGTCAGATTCTACTGGCTTTCAAGCAAGGGAAACCTTTTCCTTTTCCTAAATTAACTACATTAGCTAACTTAGCTAAATTAGCTGCATTTAGCAGTGAAATGGGCAGTGATACCCTCTGCCGAATGAAACCCTTTGCTTGTGGAACTCCGTCTGCAAAGAAATAAACTGGGGGTGTCGGATGGACAAAGCAGTGGGGGGAGGGGCTGGCTGGCTCACAAAACAGACTGTTGGAGAAGAACAACTTTCCTCTACTTAAAACATTTACTATTTCTACCTTGTGGCACTCAAGGCAGCTTGCGATATAGATAAGATGACAGTCATAAAACACGTCAAAGATGCCAGTTTAAAATCTCATTTAGGACTGTCAATAAATAAAAAGTAAATTAGTCAAATGCACTCCTAAATGAAACCGCCTTCCGGTGCCTCCTGAAGATCCAAAGGGGGGGGGGGGCAGGCGCACCTCCCCGGGGAGGTTGTTCCATAGTTGTGGGTCTGCCACTGAATAGGTGGATTCTGTGGGCGAAATAGGAATGTGCGTCCTTGCATCTATTGGACAATAAATAAGTATCCGCTGCTCAAGATCTATGCATTATAGGGCTTTTATGGGAGGAAAGGAAAGAAGTATCTGAAGGAGCGAGCAGTGCCTCACGAAAGCTCCTCGCCTGCCACAAATTTTGTTAGGTCTTTAAGGTGCTGATTGGACTCTGGCTCTTTTCTGCTGCATCAAAGATTTTGGATACTAGAATAAGAATAAACCTGAATTAATTCTGAGCATTTGGAAGGTCTTTTTCCAATATTGTAAACCAATCTGCTCTCTGTTCGAGCACCATTCTGGCTTCCAGTGTAATGTGGTGCCATCGAAATGTTATGTCATATATAAACTGGGAATGCTGCCGTTAACTTGCTTGCCAAAAACGTCTCTTTGATATGCTCTTTATTTTGTCCATATGCCTTTGGTTTGCTTCTCCAGGCACTGTTCAAGGCTAGCAACCTCACAATGGATGCAGGGACGTTCAAGACCATTTCCAAATCTCTCTGCAACCAGGAAATCACTCCTCTCTTCTTTGAATCCCTGCTTCCTGATTTTGAAGAGCAGAATGTTCACCATTCGTCCACACAAGATGAGGGGGTGAAACATATTATGAATAAATATGGCATTCCACAGGATTCCAGTGAGTGGATGAGTTTGAAGCCCCTTGCAAAATATAGTCACACTCTAGCAGAACACTCTGTCTGGGGCAGTGATGCTCTGTGTTCTTGGTACTTGGGGGGCAACAGGGGGAGGGCTTCTGGAGTTCTGGTCCCGCTGGTGGACCTCCTGATGGCCCCTGGGTTTTGGCCACTGTGTGACACAGAGTGTTGGACTGGATGGGCCATTGGCCTGATCCAACATGGCTTCTCTTATGTTCCTATGCCTGGGGCAGTGAAGCTCTGTCTTCTTGGTGCTTGGGGGGCAACAGTGGGAGGGCTTCTGGAGTTCTGGTCCCGCTGGTGGACCTCCTGATGGCACTTTGGTTTTGGCCACTGTGTGACACAGAGTGTTGGGCTGGAAGGGCCATTGGCCTGATCCAACATTGGCTTCTCTTATGTTCTGAACAGTCCAGCAGCCATGAGCCATGACAAGCCCCTGATGAAATCTGTGCACCTTAAATTAGCCACAACTAAATCCCATTGTTATTGTTATTGTTGTTGTTGTTCCAGTGGGACTTAGTCTTGGACTCAGGGATGTATAAAACTGGTCCCTTTTGTTCTGAATCTTTCCACTGCGCCTTGCCAATTCTCCCAGCTGGACAAATTGCTACACATTACAGTGGGAACGGGCGTGTGTGTGTTGATTACTTGTGTGAGTGAAAGAAAGGCTTCCTAGTGATTCTGCAAAAGTTTATGACCAGTTGACAGTATCTGTTTCCTTTTTATGAATCTGTTTTACTCGTGTTAATCTCCCCCCCCCCTCTCTCTCTGCAGCCCCCTTCTGCCTGTCATTCTATTTGGACCTGGTGAGGACACCGACTGGGGCGTTAATTTGGTCTTTCCTGAAGCCCATGCTGCTTGGGAAGATTTTGTTTACGCCAGACACCCCTGAAACGCGAGCCATCATGGGAAAGGTAATCCCACACTCATCAGTGGGAGCGGTAGCTCTCATAGATTAGGATGTGCCGGGTACTGGCAGCAGATGCCAATTAGAAGAGTTATTTTCCTGCCGTGTTGTGGAAGCCCCAGGATCCCCAGTGTCAATTTGCTCTCTAAAGATGTGACATGGCTGGGGAGAAACTTTACAGAAACAGCCGTGCATGCTAGAAATTATTGACTGAAACCAGAATAGTCTCAAGCACTCCCATGCCTGTACCAATGTTGTGGTGGTGACAGCCATAGTTTTGGAGGCAACGTCTACTTGTTTTTGTGACTTTGGTGCTGCTGGAAGACCTCGGATGTAGCGTTGATACATTTGTGCAGAAGTCATCGATGCATGCAATCAGATGACTAAGAATGAAATTTTGTATTGATAGTTTTGCCCCTTAAATTATCGTAATTGGGTGGAAGTGAATTTTTCACAGACCATTCAATTTATTTATTTTTAATCCTTTAAGTCTAATTCAACTTTGAAGCTGATGGCTGACCTGGCACATAAATCCCAGGAGTGGCTGGAAAACTCACCCCTGATCATGAATTCACTGACCACATTGAAGCAGACCATCCCAGTACTGAAGGTATGAAATGTTCACTCTCCCTCTTGTTGTGTCTTGTGTGCATGTCTCAGTTGGCGATAGCTTACTTGCAAGCAGGGGTCATTTCGTAGAAAAAGAGGCACAGGGGCTCATTAACATAGCTCATTTGCATATGCCACACCCCCTGACATCACCGGAAGTGTGTCAGAAGGCAACACCCACCGCTCAGGCTCCACTGGACTGTTTTGGATTGCTAGCTATTGTGGGGGGGGTAGAACGTGCAGATCTGTCCTCGCAGAGGAGGGAGAGCTTGTACCTGAATAAAGCTTGGTCTTAAAGGTGCCACTGGACTGTTTTGGACCAGGGGGCTGCGAGGAGCCCTCTGCAACTTACCTGGCTGCTTCTTGCTCTGACTGGGCTGCTGGGAGCAGGGGGCGGGGCTTGTTGCATGTGCCCGCCCCCTGGGCTCTTTACTGCCGGAGCTCCTCTCCTGTGCGCTCCTGCAGGAAAAGTCCTCTGCTTGCAAGTCTGATTAATCATTCTGTTAAACATCCTATAGAGCAGGGTTCTAGGTATACTGAGCTTGTTTGGGAACTTAGCTAGGATAGAGAATCCACTCCCTGCATTGGAATTACTTTAAATGCAGGTGGAGGTGGGGAATAGTTCCCTGGTGACCTGGAGAATGGAGTTTTGATCTTCTATCCAGGTGTGCAGAACTTAGACATAGCAGCATCCTGCATCAGTTGCAGAATGGGTTAGGCTTGCTACTAAGCATCTCATTACAAGTGAATGGTGGCCAAAAAGAGAAAGGCGGCATCGAAACTGTTTGGCTCGAGACGTCTTGTACTTTCCCCTGGTCTTCCTTGTTTGAAAACTGAACTTGGTACCCCAGATCTCAGAGGACCGGGATTTATATGTGAATCCACATTAATTTCTCAACACAGTGTTGGGAAGTGAGACACCCCACCAGCACTTTAAGAACTGCCAGTGAGAAAAGTGGCGGGCTAGAAACAAACGTACCCCAACTCTGGTTCTGAAATCTGGCGAGATGCATGTGATTTTCATTGTTAAAGCAAATTTATCTTGCCCTTTGGCAGAACACATTGCAGAACCCCTTTGTGCAAGTTTTCATCAAACTCATGGTGAAGCTGGATGCCATTGAACTCCTGAACCAAATTAACCAGCTGGGTAAGTCACTGGACACGTCATCTCTTTGATAAACGATTGATGCGACTGCGAGTATGAGCATATCGATGAGGACAAGGAGAGGAAGACCTGAGAGCATCGGCTTTGGGTTGGTTCTGGTCAAGGTGGCGAAAGGGCCGACCATTCCTTCAGAAGAGGGGAGGGGCTGTGAATGGCTCTTTCGTGACTGGGAGAGACATTTTCATCCACAGATCCCCAAATCCTCCAGCATCTGTTCTGATAGAATTATTTTCAAGTGTCTGCCATGCCAGCGTGGGGTAGTGGTTAGAGTGTCAGGCTGGGATCAGAGAGAAGCCGGTTCGAACCCCCACTCTGCCATGGAAGCTTGCTGGGTGACCTTGGGCTTGTCAGAGACTCTCAGGCTAACCAACCTCACAGGGTTGTTGTGGGGATAAAATGGAAGAGAAGATAATTATGTAACCCACCTTGGGTCCTCATTGGGGAGAAAAATGGGATTCCTTCCTTCCTTCCTTCCTTCCTTCCTTCCTTCCTTCCTTCCTTCCTTCCTTCCTTCCTTCCTTCCTTCCTTCCTTCCTTCCTTCCTTCCTATTTATGTTCTGCCTTCCCTGCAAGTGGGCTCAGGGCATATTACAACAGCGATTCGAAATAACCATTAAAACAATGCAGGAAATAAATGAGTAAAACAGTTTAAGGCAAGGAGTATGAGTTGAGAGCAGATGGCCCTGTGATGTACAAACGCAGTGTTCTCAAAACCGGAGCAGCTGGGCCATAAACCAGGCGATAAGATCTTCTCAGATGGGCCAGCCGGCTTCGGCAAGGGAGGCCAAAACGTGGAAGAAATGAAGTAAGTAAATAAATATAGACTTGCGGAACAGTTTCATTCCAGAAGCATTTGACGGAGGCGTAAGCCGTTTGGGCAGATTTGGCTCCACCCTTCCCTTTGTGGTCTAGCTGTGCACGTTTTTTTCACTTGTTGCTGGACGCTGCTGATGATCTGGCGACCTTGGAGCTCTTGCGGCTTCGTCTCAGGAAATAAGGCAGGATATAAGTATTTCCTACAAGTCAATTAAAAACAACAACAAAACTTTACTTCACCAAGTGGAATCCTCGTTCCTGGGCAAAAGAAAAGAAAGAAGAAGAAGAACCAAAACACCCCACATCTTGGTCTCCCCCCCCCCCCCCAGGTCATGATACAATCTGTGAATGAGTCAGCTCTGTAGCTCAAGCTCTGTCCTCAGCCGGCTTTGCATTTCTGAGTCTGTTCATCAGTTTCCAGTCGTCCCCCGTGCTGCTTTGGAGGTGAAGAGGGCAAAGGCAGTGCCAGTCCTCATCGGTCCTCCCAGGATGCAGCGGCTAGGGAAGGCCAAGGAGGGGGAAGTCCTGCCTTCCCAAGTGACTCCTGCAGCCCCGTTTTGTGTGCATGAAACGCTCTGGACTTCTTTTGAGGCTCTCTGGGAGACCCCCCCTTCAACAACTACCGTGGAGCTTAATAATGGAAGCTGGAGCATCTGTGTCAGTAATAAAGCGGTCCCAATCCGGCAATGAGCGTGGCCTGAACCTCATGAAGTATGACTGGAGTGTTCTCTGGCCATTTCTCTTGCCGTGTGTGTGTGTGCGCGTGTGCGCACTGGAGAGAGTAATCATCACGGTGATCTCAAGTGTGTAGTTGCCAGGAAAGAGAAAAGTGATCTTTGTACATAATAGCCACTCAGAAAGATATTTCTCTGTGACAAAACTTGTATACCAGTGTGGATAATGAACAAACAGAACTGATCTCAGGACTCTTCGTTCACTCACTAGAGTGACGATGTTACATGAGCTCCCACATTATTTATTTATTTGGATTTATATCCTGCCCTCCCCGCAGGCTCAGGGCGGCTAACAGAGGCATAAGGCCAGGTAATAACAATAAAACAATAAAATACAGACTAAACTTACAAAATGAACAATTAAATAATTAACCAGAGTTCTTAAAACATTTTCCGGTGCTCCTCTACTCACTTCCAGATTTTTAAAAGTCAAGATGGTGTTCTCAATAATATAGTTGCATAACAGTGCCCCACTGTTGTCCCTAGGCACGTCCCACTCCCTCCAATGGTACCCGCACCAGCGATGACAGTATGCGGAAATTATAGGGCGTTGATGGAACAGTGGTGACGGCGGCTCCTATTCAAAAGCCTGGCGGAAGAGCTCCGTCTTACAGGCCCTGCGGAACTGTACAAGGTCCCGCAGGGCCCGGATCTCCTCTGGGAGCTCATTCCATCAGATAGGAGCCGCCACCGAAAATGCCCTAGCCCTGGTCATCGCAAATTTGATGGTCTTGGGGCCTGGAACATCCAGGATATTTTGATTTGTCAGCCACAAAGATTTTCAGAGACTACAAATGGGCTTCACGGACCGCTTTAACCTGCAGCCCAGTTTTACGTGTCCCCATTGTGTTTCTCGCCCAAGTAGCTCCCTTGCATGAGGCGGAAAGAGGCGGATGAAGCTCGGACCGGAAGGGCCTCTCAAGCCAATGTGGTCAAGAGACAGAATCGGAACCTTTGCTCCAGTTTGTCTTGGGAGAGCAGGGCAGATAAGAGCTCCTGGCCTGTGTAAATAGTGGGGGGGGGCACACACTTAAACCCGAGGTATGCAAGTTCCAGGTTGCGAGGGGCTTTATTTGTTTGTTTATTTCTTCACATTTATCGCCTGCCCTTCTCAGAAGTGGGCTCAGGGCAGGTAACAACATCATTTATACAAAAATTGTGTTAATAAAGTAACATTAAAATTTAAAACATCTTCATAAATATTAAAATGGTGGTCACAGCTCATAGCAAAAAAAAAAGATATTCCGTGGTTGTGGGAGGTTTCTGGCTATAGCCAGTACTTGTTAACAGAGTGATCGATACCTCAGGGAGGCCATATGTGGACGCCCGCTGCCTCAGCCGAAGGCCTGGCAGAAGAGCTCCGTCTTGCAGGCCCTGCGGAATCGAAGTAGTTCTCACAGGGGGGCCCTGATCTCAATGGGGAGCAGGTTCCACCAGGCGGGGGCCAGGGCGGAAGAAGCCCTTGTCCTGGTTGAGGCAAGTCGGGTGTCTTTGGGGCCAGGAACAACCAGGAGGTGTTGATCCATAGGGCGTAGTGCTCTTCGGGGCATATACAGGAACAGGCGGTCCTTCAGATACGTTGATCCCAGGCCGTGTAAGGCTTTAAAGGTTACTATCAACACCTTGAAGCGGATCTGGAACCCTACTAGTAACCAATGCAATTGGCGGCGGACCTGCCAAACATGAGCCCGCATAGGCACTGCTGTTAGCAGGCTGCATTTTGCACCAGCTGTAATGTCCAGGTCAACCTCAAGGGTAGGCCTGCGTAGAATTAATTACAGTAGTCCAAGCTGGCCCCTTGCCCCTTTAGAGGTCCAAACTGGCCCCTTGCCTTGAACAGGCAGGCAGCCAGTGCAGAGAGTCTGGGGGGAGGGGAGGGTTATTCCTACACATCAGTGCACCTCAGCCTCATGGACTGAGCCATCCCATTTTGAGCCATGAACAGGGGCAAGACGAAGGGCCCCGGGGGGGCGGCTCCCGGGCCCCTCCTTGTGTTTCACTGGCCGCCACTCCCCCACCCCCACCACCCCGCGCCCCACTGCTCTCCCACTCCCTCGTCCCTCAAGTGACAGGAGGTGGGAAATGGGGTGAGTAGGAGGAGTGCCTGGGAGGAGGAGGAGACTGGGGGCCAGACTTGACAGGACGGCATCCGTGGGTCTGACCACCCACCATCGAAGACGTTTAAAGACGACACAGGGGCCCTGGTCTGGGTCAGGCCCACCACACAAGACCCGGCTGAGGTGTTCCTGTCCCCTCCCTCTGCACCTCCCCAAGGGCTGAGACCGCCCCCCCCTGCACGAGCTCCTCAGTCCACCACGCTATGGGCCCCACCAGGGTCTGGCCCTCTTGCTGCTTTTAAATCTCTTTAAAATGGTGGCCAGCAACATGGACACTGTCATGCCTTGTTTGGCCCGAAAGCAGGAACCAAGTTGAGATTGCAGCATTGAGAAATTTGAAATTGTCCATATTTAGAACGAGGCTGCTGAGGCTTCTGGAGAGCCAGTCTGGTGTAGTGGTTGAGTGCACGGACTCTAATCTGGGAGAACCGGGATTGAGTCCCCACTCCTCCTCCACTTGCACCTGGCTGGATGTCCTTGGGCAAGCCGTAGTTCTGGTAAGAGCTGTTCTTGAAAAAGAGCCTGTATAGGCTTCTGCCCCTCAAGCCTGTCCAGGAATGAGGGGGAAGCCTATACTTTTTAATACCTTAAACAACAACCCAGAAAGGTATGCTATCCTCTCTGGATTTCAGAGCAATAAACCACCAGAATCTCTCAGTATTCTATAATCCCCTCCAGCTCAGAGCAGAGATTCAGAGCTCTCAGCTGGCATCTGGGACTTAACACATTAGCACCTCCTTCCCAGAGATGCAAACTTTTACCTAGGTAGCATATGTGGTCAGCATTCCGGCTGCAAGATTTAGCCTTGGAATCCAGTTTCAACATCAAGCCAAGTTAGAAACCAGAATAAGTTTATTCAGTACAGAACTTAGCATAGACCAGAAGGATTTCAAAACAAGAAAGGCTAGGGAACTTTGCCTTAACTAAACAGTAATTCATATTTACCAATTCAGGATAGCATCAGTCCAAAAAATCCAGTTAGACACCAAGGGATTTGTAAGAGCAGGAATCCCATCTTTGCAAGCATCTGCTCAGCTGACAGAGCAGTTCTTTGTTCCACCTGGGACAGCATTTCCAGGTGCAATTCAACCAAGTAGAGAGAGTGCAGGAACAGAGAGTTCTCTTCCAAGGGACCAGACAATTAAACCCCAATCTAATCATGACTAGCCATGGCCATGCAGCCAATCACGAGTAGCAGGGTGTGTGGCCAATGTTTTGGTTGTCATGGGTACAACTGGGGATAGGCTAGGAGTTTGGGAAACCACGCCTGCAGTCACATGGCCCCCAACTCCAGGTAGTCCATGGGCTACGTGACCTCTGGCATGTTTGGCAGAGGCCATCTGGTCTCTCCCAGCATGGAAGTGTGAAGAATGTGGGTTTATGGTATGGCAATTGGGCCATGGGGCCCACCATTTGGCTTGTAACAGGAAACAAGGCACAGCGTTATCAAAGACAGAACAGGAGAAGGCAGAAGGCTTTTAGAAATCAATATTTCTATACAGAGCCATTTCTGTCAGAGCTCTCTCAGCCCCGCCTACCTCACAGGGTGTCTGTTGTGGGAAGGGGAAGGGAAAGGAGATCTGTAAGCCACTCTGAGACTCCTTTGGGTAGTGAAGGGCGGGGGATATAAATCCAATCTCCTCCTCCTCCTCCTCCTCTTCTTCTTCTTCCTGTGCTTGCCTCTTTACATTCACATCTCCTCCTCCTCCTCCTCCTCCTCTCCTCCTCCTCCTCCTCCTCTTCTTCTTTCCCAGAATCCCTCTGAACTCAGTCATATTGATTTCCAGGATTTCTTGTGGCTTCCAGAGGAGGGTAACGAAGGGGTTATAGCACCATAAGATGATATACGTTTGGAACTGCAAAGTAACGCTGACATCATAAATCAACTCGACACCTTATCAAGACTCAGCGTCAATGTTTCCTCCTGCGTTCTCTTTGATCGCATCAAACCGGTGAGGTCTGAAGAGGAGCTTGAGACGCTTGCGAAACAACTGTTTCTGAAGAATGAGCTTTTTGCCAGTGAGTAATGTCACCTGAATTTTAATTCCATTTGCTGAAATGAAATAGTTTCCTACCAGAAACAAAATCAGGTGTTTGAATAAGGATTTCTTTTACTGTAACTCTTTTGCGATGCCCTGCTGAGTTACACCTTTCCTAATCCTTTGAAGTCCACAGACTAAAAAGGACGTAGCCTCATTTAGGATTCCCCAGGGGAGGAGCCATGTTAGTCCGTAGCAGCAAGATCAAACAGGAGTCCAGTGGCCTCTTACAGTCTAACAGTGATACATTTTAAAGACAGTAACATTTAAATCTATAGATGTTAAGATTCATAGATTCAAAGATTTGGAAGGGGCCATAGAGGCCATCCAGTCCAACCCCCTGCTTAGTGCAGGGTCATCATTCAATTCAGTTAGTCTTTAAGTTGCCACGGGACTCGTGTTTTCTTCTGCTGATCTCTTGTGTCCATGAAGTCCATCAGGGGTCCCCGGCCCTTCTGAGCCCGGGTGCCCCCTACTCTGCCTCCTCCTGGAAAAATGGTCCTGCTATCAATTTTTTCCCTTGGTGATATTGAGGTTCTTTGGCTCCACGAGAGGAGAAATGTCTTTGGATGCCATTAATATCAAGACAGAGGTATCGAGCTATTTTGTAAGATTTCAGGAGAAGAGGGACGCATAGACTGCAGCCCTGATAACGCTTTTATGGTATGTGCCCTGTTGAATAAAATGGGACTTGCTTCTGAGTAGTCTGGCAAGGCAAGAAAAAGCACTTTGCACGTTCTCAGTGGCTGGGAACCTTCCACCCACTTTCTGCTACTTACCAGATGTGCACAAGTCGTTAAGACTGGGGATATCCCTTTTCCCTTTCTTAGCAGCAGTCCAAGCCTCCTTAAGGCAGCCAGCGCCGGTCTATGAGAATGATGGCAATAAAGACTGGGCTTCTTTTGCTATGCATCTTTAACATCTCAGACACAATTATTGGTTCCTCTCGACATGATATTTGTGCGAGAAGTCTGCAGTGGGCTTGTGCTTCCGCCACCTTTGGTCTGTGCTCTATCCCAGTATAAATGGGTGAAAGGCAAAATGCCTGTCTTCTTTCTCTTTTACAAGGCATCATTTTCAGGTTGCCCTCAGACAACAAAGAGAGGGATGGAGCAGACCATAGGAGTCTTTCCCTTCCACCCTTGGTCAATTACACCATTCGGATGAGCAGTAAGATTTCCCAAACGACAAAAAGGATCCGAGAGAAAATCTGGACGGTGGGTCCGCATAACTCGGCCTCCCAGAGCCAGATCTACAGCCGGGCCTTCGTCTACATCCAGGACAGCCTCGAAAGAGCCATCATCGAACTGCAGACGGGGAAGCAGCTGGAAGACATCGCGGTGCAAGTTCAGGGGACGCCATACCCCTGCTACAGCAAAGACATGTAAGTGCCCGTCTCAGTTACAGTCAGCAGGAGGAGTAACGTTTTGGAGGCAAGAAGAAAGGCCTGCCAGTCCCCCCCGGGTTGTGAGGGGATCCTCTGATCCATGTGAAAGGCGGCTGAGCAAAGGGCAGTACACATTAGGAGGACTGTCTCCAAAGGATGACGTTCTTGTCTAAGGGTTAACAAAATGGGCTTGTTCTCTAGCATGCCTTGTTTTCTTACTGCACAGGTGGATCTTTGCTAAAAATGGGGGTATTGTCGTAGGCTTTCATGGCCGGAGTTCATTACTTGCTGTAGATTTTCCGGGTTGTGAAACTGTGGTCTTGGCTTTGTAGAACCGTTAGGCCTCACAACCCGGTAAATCTACAGCGACTAATGGGGTATTGTTTTATGGTGTACAGTAAGGGTTAGGGTTAGGGTTAGTTATACGTCTCATTGTGTAAAAACATATCCATATGTTTTATGCGCTTATAATCCTGCTTTCCAAACTAGCCCAAAATTGAGCAAATACGTTCTGCTCCGAAATCGGGTGAAGGTGAATATGCCACCGTAACCGATCCTCTGTTCTTAACAAGCAGGTCTTTACTCTGACTGGTGTCCCCTCCATGTCTCTCTCGCCAGCAGATGAAGACTCCTCCGTTTCATCTGGCCCACCCCCAGGAACGGTTATTTATTGCCCCTTAGCGGAATTTTATGGTTTTAATGGTACTTCTAATGGTGTAAACGTTTTGGCATTCTTACATTCGCCGCCTCGAGGACCCCGATAGGGTAAAACGGCAGCATAAAAATGTTTTAAAGAAACAAAAACGCCACCCAAGCCCCTTTCACAGCTCCCTTGGCAGAGGAAAGAGCTCTCCTGCGTGAGGGTTCAGGTTGGGGGGGGCTGTGATGTCCCACGGAGGAGCTTTTGGTAAGGCGAGGGTGACGCCGACCCTAGGACCGCATCGCGGGAAGACAGAGCTGCACGTTGACAGCCAGCATGTCCGTCAGCTGCTCAGTCCCTCACTCAAGAAAAGCCGTGGAGGGAGGGGCTTCGAATCCCCACCCCCCCCAAGGGAGAATACAGGAATAAGCTCACCTTTGGGCCAGCAAAAGGAGGAGGCGGGACCAATGCTCCCTCTAAGCTGTAGAGTCCTGTGAGCAAAAAGTCTACTTTGTGAGCTACCGACATTAAAGTTGGGAGCGAGCGATTTGGCTACTGCATCAGTTGGTTTGCTCTGGAGCCCCATCCTTCCTGAGACAGGACAAAGATGTGTGAGCCGGAGGCTAAAAAATTGGGAGCTAGCTCACACTAACTCAGCTTAGAGGGAACACTGGGCAGGACTAGAGCCTACCTCCCCCCCTCTCTCTCTCTCTCTCTCTCTCTCTCTCTCTCTCTCTCTCTCTCTCTCTCTCCCCTCTAGCCACGTGTCCGAGGGGGCACACCAAAGACAGCCTCCTTGGATCTCTGGCCCTGGTAGTGGAAGTGACCACCTTGATTTTGTTTCGCATCTAGTTGGCAGCAGACTGCTGGCTAAGCTCCCCAGGAGTCCTTGGAAGGGGCTCCGGTTTGTTCCAGCAACGGACCTCTTTGAAGAGCTCCGATATTGTACTTTCCTGTCTGCATAGCTTGCCAGCAGAGCAGTAGGCGCACGGCCAAGTGCAGAGGATGGCGCCTGTTGCTCTGCATTGAGCTGAGCTGGGGAAACGTCTCTGTGTGAGTCTGCGTACAGGCAGGGAAACGGATGGTCCAGCATGGGGACTAGAGGACCCGCAGGGCTGTGCCTCAGTCGGTCTTAGGGCAAGACGTCTCCAGTTTCTAAAATTGTACCCGTAATTTTAATTGCATGCCACCATTCAGGGAAAACCTGTATGTCCAGCCTTGCTTTGAGAATGGTGTTTGTTGTCTCTGCCTCATTGAACAGGATTCTCCCGTAACTGTATCCTGGCCTTGCCCTTTGCAGGTTCCTCACGAGCGTCACCTACTCTCTCCCGTTCACCCTGATGGCCGCCTGGGTGCTCTTCATTGCCGCTTTTGTGAAGAAGCTGGTTCAAGAGAAGGACCTGAGGCTCTATGAGGTACTCTGACACGGGGTGTATCCGCCGTGCCCCGGAGCCCTCCCGGGTGACTTGCACTGCAGAGCCGGGTGGCCGGGGGGGGGGGGAGACCCTGGCCCCCAGGGAGTTAAAAGCCTGGGCTGTGCATTACACTCGCGCTCGCCCCCCCCCCCCCGCAGACTTTGTGCTCTTTCCCAGGCAGCCCTGGCAGGCAGAGCAGCAGGGAGTGGCCCCTGGAGGAGGCTCTGCAAAGGGAGGGGCTCCAGGGAGAACAGGAGGCCTCAAGAGGGAATGGAGGACGCCAGTCTGGTGTCCTGGTGAAGTGCAGGCGGACTCTCATCTGGGAGAACTAGGTTCAATTCCCCACTCCTCCTCCACTCGCACCTGGCTGGGTGACCTTGGGCAAGCCACAGTTCTGTCAGAGCTGTTCCCTCAAGGGCAGTTCTGGCAGGAGCTCTCTCAGCCCCGCCTGCCTCACAGGCAGTGTTCCCTCTAAGCTGAGTGAGTGTGAGCTGGCTCACAGTTTTTTAGCCCCCGGCTCACACAATTTTGTCTTGGCTCAGGAAGGATGGGGCTCCAGGGGAGATTAATTTATGCAGCAGCCAAATAGCTCACTCCCAACTTTAATGCCAGTATAGCTCACAAAGTAGAATTTTTGCTCACAGGACTCCTCAGCTTAGAGGGAGCGTTGCCCACAGGGGGTGCCTGTTGTGGGGGGAGGGGGAGGGAGAGGAGTTTGTGAGCCGCTCTGATGAGACGCTGCGTGAGTGGAGGGCCCCATAGGGCACACATCCAGTCTCCTCCTCCTCCTCCTTGGGGTGCCGGCTGCCCTTCCTTCCTCGGAGGGGGGGAGGCTGATGCTCCAGAGGGGCAGCCCCCCCCGAGGGTGTAGAGGGTGTGGCTGAGCTCCAGTTTTGTCCTTTGTCCATCCCCAGGTTCACCTCTCTCTCTTTCTGAATACTTAGCAGCCAGATTCGAGTCCGGCCGCACCTGAGAGACCACCAAGAATTTGGGGGTATAAACCTTTGAGACTCAGGTGCTCCCTTGGCAGCAGCCCCGAGCCTCTCAAAGCTGATCCCCCCGAAAGGTTTCTCCGGGCTCCCAGGGGGCTCCCCCAGGCTCATGTCCGGCTGTGCTACAGCCATCCGGACATTTAACACGCGTGACATGTTAAAGCTGACGCAGCACGTGTACTTGGAGAACAGCGCAGCTGTCCAATTTAAGACGATCGCTGCTTGAGGAAGAGGCAGATGTGGCACCTGCCATGCGTCCTGCTGTGAAGCTGCCCCGGAAGCCCTTGGGAGGGCAGAAAGGCGGGGTGCGGATCCTGTCAGTAACAGAGAATCCTGTCAAATGGGTGCCGGTGGCCGGCTCAGGGGGTCACACAGATGGTGTGCTGGGAGGTATCAGTCCACCTCTGGTGCCGTTTCCCCATCCTGAAACTGCCTCCGGGTGTCTCACGGTTTGCATCGCGGGGGGAAACATACACACATTATGTTGTCAAACACTTTCACGGCCGGAGTTCATTAGTTGCTGTAGATTTTTCCGGGCTGACTGGCCGTGGTCTTGGCATTGTAGGACCTGATGTTTCGCCAGCAGTTGTGACTGGCATCCTCAGAGGTATAACACAGAAAGAGGGAGTACTCTCTGTGTCGAGGTGAGAAGGAAAACGGTAGGCAGGTAATTTATATCTACTCCAGAAGGTGGGGTAGGGCTGAGTCATTACCTTGAAGGAGTTTCCCAGACTGTGAAAACATGCTAATGGAGGAGCTTTCCTCCCCCCCCCCAGAGTATGCTATAGATATACATTTAATATGCGAGGAGTATATATATATTTTCATGTTTTATTTGTAATTTTCATAACATAAACAGTATAAACATAAATAGTAATAGACACTATTTAGAGTCTATTGGTCATATTTGTTATCTTGGAGGAGCTTTCCTGAGGAGGTTCTTTTGCATATGGATTGGCTGTTGAAATTCTAATCTTATTGTAAGAGGTGGAGCACTAATGTGCATGCATTAACGTGGGCACCCGGTGTGGGGGGGGAGTACCATCTCTCTGGCACCTCTCAGGCGAGGAAAATGGTGCCGGGGGGGGGGGCCTTAACCCTCCCTCTGCTGGAGCCATGGTCCTGATCCATGTGGAGCCCTCGTGCACCTGCTTTTCAGAGGAGGAAAAAACTGCTGGGAGCTCCCTGCCTGCTGGGTCTCTCAGCATCCCCTCTGCCTGAGCCTGAAACCGCGCGGCTGTCCTTGGAAAGAGCAAACTCTGGAGGGGAGGCCCAGCTGTCGCTGGTTACAGCACGCTGGGGGTTGTGGTCTCCGCCGCTGAGAGAAAGCAAAGGATTCCAGCTTAGGAACAGGGTGGTGTGGTGGTCAGAGCGCTGCTGGGCTGGGGCTTTGGAGAACCAGATCCAAGTCTGTGTTCTGCCGTGAAGCTTGCAGGGCCGTCAGTCTCTCTTGGTGCCACCTGCCTCGCAGGACTGCCGTGTGGTGGAATGGAGGAGAGGGGACAGGTGCATCCCACCCTGGACATCCTGAAGGAAGGGCCGGATGAGAACACGCTCCAAGAAACAAACAGGCAGAGCCGTGCCCTACAGCATGCTCAAGAGATCGATCAATGCCACGAAACTATTGCAAAACAAGGGGATAAATGATCATAAAAACGCCGTGTCTCCAGAGGCACAACAAAATATTTTTTAAAACTACAAAGTCCAGCCCAATAATGAAGCAAAATGGCAGAAACTGCCTCTGCCTGCCCGCTGGGCTGGGGGGGGAGGGGGGCGAGCCACGTCATCGACGTCCCTTGTTTTCTCCACAGTACATGAAGATGATGGGCGTCAATTCCAGCAGCCATTTCTTTGCCTGGTTCCTGGAGTGCGCCTCCTTCCTCCTCATCACGGTCACCTTCCTCATCCTGATCCTCAAAGTGGGCAACATCCTCCCCAAGAGCAACGTCGCCATCCTGTTCCTGTACCTCACCGACTACAGCTTCTCCATCATCGCCATGTGCTACCTCATCAGCGTCTTCTTCAACAACACCAACATCGCCGCTCTGGTCGGGAGCCTCGTGTACATCCTGACCTTCTTCCCCTTCATCGTGCTCCTGGTTGTGGAGAATCACGTCAGCTTCTCCGTCAAGAGCCTGCTGGTAAATCCCTCCTCGCTTTGGGAAGCCGGCCCGGGTGCGTCTCTTGGACACTGGGAGAGCCCCAGGAGCCCCAGGAGGAAAGGCTGAGGGACTTCTTGGGAAGGTTCAGCCTGGAGCAGAGGAGGTTGCCTTGGGCAGGGGGGGGGGGTTGGACTAGATGGTCTGCATGGCCCCTCCCAACTCTATGGTTCTATGAGGGGGACAGGACGGCTCGGGCTGTGTCCCTTAGAGGAGGAGGAGGGCAGGGAGCTGCTCCTGTCTGCAGCAGGGGAGAGGGTTTAAATTAAATTAAGGGCAGGAAGATACCAGCTGGATTTTAGGAAAAACTTCTTGACAGTCAGAGCTGTGCACCAGTGGAATCAGCTGCCGAGGGCGGTGGTGAGCTCCCCCTCCCTGGGCAGTCTTCAAGCAGCGGCTGGACAAAAGCTTGTCAGGGAAGCTGTAGGCTGATCCTGCACTGAGAAGGGGGGGTTGGACTAGATGTCCTCTATGGCCCCTTCCCACTCTGTGATTCTGTGATTCTAGAGCCTCCCCAATGTCCTTCTGGATTGGGGGAGGGGGACCTCGGGGTCACGAAGCTGCCTTGTCAGGCCAGCTGGCCCATCAGAGTCAGTTTTGTGTACTCAGACTGGCAGCGGCTCTCCAGGGTCTCAGGAAAGAGGTATTTCACGTCACCTGCTGCCTGGTGCTTCCAACAGGAGATGCCAGGGATCGAACCTGGAACCTTCAGTAGGCCAAGCAAGTATACCACTGAGCCACAGGCCCTCCTAGCACACTCACACAGCTGAGACATGGGTTTTCTTTTGGCTGTACCCGACGGGGACCTCGTCCAGATCTGGCACTGGGTTTTTGTGAGGCCTCAAGCAAGAGGCCGTCACTTGCCTTCCTTGTCCAGAAGCCAGTGCTCCTGAGAATGTGTGTGTTTCCCCTTGCCACTGAAGAGTGATGACCGGAATCCAAACATCTGAGGTTACGGGAGGGGCCTTACAAGGCACACCAGAGGTTTCTCCTTCTGCCAGTGTGACTCCAGGGTGTATCCTCCCTAACAGGGACGCCGGTGGCCAGGGTCAGTGATGGCCAATGCCTGGCTCTGCTCAGTGCTGATGCCGGCCTTGTCCTTGCTGTTGAGATCCTGGTTCATTGGATGCCCGATAGGTTGCAGTAAGATGAGAGTCTTTGAGTCCATTTCATGAATTGACCCAAGAGAACATAACCCACCCTCTCTGAGTCCAGCAAAGCAGTGGAGAAGATCTGTTGCCACGTCTCCACAGGGACAAGGACTCCCCCCCCCCCCCCGTGCTCAGCATGACTTCTGCAGTCCCCTCTGCCTTTTCAGGCTGCCTCAGGAGGGGGACCTGTGGAAGTCATGTTCCATGAGCCGGAATATGTCCCGCTGGATCCACCCCATGGGCTGTTGAGCTTTAGATGTCTGCTGCTAGTGCTTCCTTCAAGTTGTCCCACTGGTGGGCCTCCTGAGGGCCCCTGGGTTTTGGCCACTGTGTGTGACACAGAAGAGTGTTGCACTGGGTGGGCCATTGGCCTGATCCAACATGGCTTCTCTTACGCTCTTAAGCCCGTGCTGAAGGGTGCAGAGTGCAGGTGCAGAGAGGCCCAAGTTGGCCCTCTCGGCTCCTCTGGAAAGCTCCCTTGGCCACCTCAGGTAATATCTCTTTCTCCAGGCCAGTTTGGCCCCGGGGATCCTGGAGGTTTCTTTGTCATTTTCTGGGCATGGAACAGCGGTCACTGCGGGTGTGGAGGGGGGGAGGTATTTTTGAATTTCCTGCACTGTGCAGGGGGTTGGACTAGATGACCCCGGAGGTCCCTTCCAGCTATGATTCTGTGATTCTAAGTGAAGTCACGACACTTTGGAAGGAAAAAATAGTTCTCGGATCTCCTTGACGGACCAGTAAGACCCCAAAGAAGGTAGATCTTTAGGGGGGCATTGGCACGCACGCACGCACACACACACACACCCCTGGCCAGGCTCTCCCTTTGCTGTGAGTGGCTCCTGAATGGCTGGTGTCATGTATAGATGAACCCACCATGGGGCAGCTTCCTTGGGAAAGACCCATGGCACCGCCCGTTCCTGGTCAGCTGCCAGTTCCATGTTCAGGACGATGCACAACCCCACCCACGAGATCACTGCCTTGGCTGCGTGGGAGACAGAGTTGTTGAGAAGTCTTCAGTCCAGGGGTGGTGAACTCATTTGTGATGAGGGCCGGATCTGACACGAATCAGACCTTGTCGGGCCGGGCCGCGTGTGTCGTGAAATGTGATGCCAGGTAGCCGAGATATAAACTTTATAAAGGGCACAAACACAAAGGATGTTTTTACTTAAAATAAAAACAGGCTTAAAACACTAGCTCTGTAAGCTGCAAGCCTACTTTTGATTTATCGACATTCACCACAGAAATCTCATGCTCAGAGTTCTGAGCCTAGGACCCAGGTTAAAACATGAGATGGCTGAGCGGTTAAGAGAGTCTGGCGAGGCAAGCTAGGATGCAGCAGCAGCAGAACTGGAAGCAGGAGATGGCCAGATCCACTGCAGGCCTGATGGAAGCCCTCCAGGGGCCTGGTCCGGCCCCTGGGCTGCATGTTCGACCCCCCTGCTTTAGTCTGATGATCAGTCTTGGACAACATAAATCACACTAATAACGCCCTCCCTCGTACTGAAGCCACTGCAGCCAAAAAGCTCCTAGAAAGTGGCTGGAGCACCAATTAAAGGGATGCTCAAACTTCTTTTTGTATGGCTGGTCTAAGGACTGTAGACATGAACTGAATTGAATTGATGCTCAATTTGGGAGGGAGCCGGGCAAACGGAAGGTTCAGAAGACACTGTCGCTGATTCAGCTGATTTACTCCACGCTTATCCAAGCAGATAGCACAATGGATAGAAAGTCTGGCTCAAATGTGGGGTGCCACGTTCAAGTCCTGGCTCACCTAATGAGCTCACTTAGTGGACAAGGCTAGTAGAATTGTTTTGAGGACAGAACGAATTCAGCTTTGAGCTCCTTGGAGGAACGTGAAAGGAAAAGATAAATATACAGGGGTCTCAGTGCTCCCCTCTGCTCTCGCGGAAGATTCCTTCCTCTTTCTTTGCAGTGTTTTTTTGTGTAGCTGAATTGTGCTGTGTGACTCGACTTGAGCCTACAGTTGTGTACTTGGAGCTGCCGGGGGGTCTGTCTCCATGCAGCCTGGTGACACAGTCCCCCCCCCCCCTGCACACACACACACACTCCTGTTTTGTTTCCCCCCAGAGCCTCTTGTCCCCCACGGCCTTCAGCTATGCCAGCCAGTATATCGCCCGCTACGAAGAGCAAGGCATTGGTACGTGTGCGTCCTGGTGAGGAGTGGGGCTGGCGGCTGGGTAGCCCTGGCAGGATTCCCTTCGGTCTTCTAACAGGGCGTTTTTTTGGCAGGCCTGCAGTGGCACAATGTGTATCGGTCGCCCATGACGGGAGACAACACGAACTTTGGCTGGATGTGTTGGCTGATTCTGATCGATTCCTTCATTTATTTCATTCTGGGGTGGTACATCAGGAATGTCTTCCCAGGTAAGTGGGATAACATTTGTTCTTTACACACACACACACACCCCACACACAGATTGGATCAGAAATGTATGATTCACAGTCACTCCTGGGAGATCACCAGAAACCCACCCTCTCTGTTTGAAGCTTTTACCTCTCGTGCTGTGAGACTGCATGATGTGGAGAGGGGGAAGGGTTGCATGTGTGTGTGTGTGAGAGAGAGAGACAGCTGGCTTGTGAAATGACTTTCCCCTTTCAGGTTGCATTGGCCGGTGCATTTATGGCCCGTCTGCATTGCAGGCTGATGCTTGGCACTTGGCAGTGACTGCAGGACGTGCTCTGGCCCTTTTGGTCATCATCTTCCCTGCTGTGTTTCCGTAGACACCATACCATAGAGATCCAGGGCTGCATGCGTGGGGTGTCCATCCTAGGACGTTATTATCGGGATGTCCTGGTGGCTTCCATAAAACCAAGCCTCTTGGCTCTCCCCAAGTGACTTAAACATACGGGCACCAGCCTGAATGCTCACGGGCACGCCGGCGGGCCCACTGTTGGAAACACTGTTGGAAACTGGCGAGGTCAGGAGCAATCCTAAGCCGGTCTGCTTGGAAGGAAGCCCCATTGCATTCAGTTGGGTCTACTCCAGGGGGAGTGTGGTTCAGATAGTAGCACCCCCTGCGCTTTGTCTGCCCCACCACTTACTCTGAAATAGTTAAGATAAACTGAAAATGGCTTAGACCTGAAGCGCTCCGGGCCCAGAGGGTCCCCAACTTTTTCGAGCCCAGGGGCCCCCTTTGGAATCCTGACGCAGGGTGGTGGGCGCAGCTTCACAAGGGCTGCTTCAAAAGGGCTGCTGCAAGAGGTCGAGCTAGCCAGAGAATGGCTGCCGCCTCTTACCTCCGGTCACACAATGACGATCCTCGTGCTGTGGTGGCAGCTGCCGCCAAAGCAACATTTTTAGAAATCTGCACAGCCCATCAGATCTCCACTGGCCAATCAGAAGCCTTGCTGGGCATAAGCCCCAACTGGCCCCGCCCACTTTCCAAGAGCACTTGAGGGTCACCGGGCCGGGGGATCCCTGCTGTAGCGCAGGAAAACAGGCACTAACCCAGGCACCCTTCCTTTCGCACGCACCCCAGGGAAGTACGGCATGGCGGCTCCGTGGTATTTCCCACTCCTCCCATCGTACTGGGCAGAGCGCTACGGATACATCCCGCTGTGGAACGGAAAGAGCAAAGCCCTTGACTTCACCAGCTTCTTCTTGAGGAAAGAGGCGGCGTTCCCTGAGAAGATGTGTACGTATCTTCACCTTCAGCACAGAGAACCGTAGGTTTACTTGCCTGGGAATCTGAGGGCCATGCCGACAGTGGGGGTGATGGGCGTTCGCCAAAATCTGAAGTCCAGCTGTGACCCTGAACATGACGCAAGTATGAATGGGAAGGCCGCCTCTGTCAGTCCACTTTACCTTTGCCTTCTGGTTCCACACCCTTTGGGGGCCGATTCAGGCGGGAGGATGTGGCCTTTGCTGATCTCCTTGTAACCGCCTAGGAGGAGAAGGGACTCTTGCCTGAGCCTGCAGGACATGTCACGCCACCTTGGTGGCTAATTACTGAGTGCACTTTATTAACAGTGTTAAATGTTAAGTTTTAAATGTTTTAACTGTATATGAATCTTGGCACATTGTGCCAGGCAATGTGAGCCGCCCTGAGCCCGCTTGCGGGGAGGGCGGGTTAGAAATATAATAAATAAATAAATAAAATCTGGAGGGTAATTCAGATCCCGACATCTGATGGGGTTTTTTTTTCCAGATTCAGACTGCTTTATTTATTTATTATTTAATTCCGTCTATACCCCACCCTCCACACCGACAGGGGGGCTCAGGGGGGCTTACATAGAATTTCATATACAATGCAATTAAAACCTATCAAAGGCATATCAACATAAAACGCTGCAATAGGGTGAGATGGTGTGTGTGTGTGTGTGTGTGAGTGAGTGTGCAGGCACATGTATGAGTGGAAGTGGGCAGGAAGCTCTTCGTAAATAACATCCCCTTCACTCTCTGTCAGAGAGAGACAGGCGCGCACCTGTGTGTCTCCACCTAGGCATGTCTCATTCTGAGCACTGACTTGCTGCTATGTCTCCCCTGCCTTGGAGACATGTCAAAGTGGGTGAGTGGGCATGTGCACCTGTCCCTCCCTAGCTCTAGAACGAAGCACCTGTGAGCCATACCACAGGGCAGCCAGGTCTCACCCCTGCAGCCGCAGCCGCTCCCTCGTCATTTCACACAGCATCTGTCTTGTCTTCTTGTCGTTCCCTAGATGTTCAGAGCGCTTTGCCTTCTAACCTGGAGCCAGAGCCTTGCAACCTAACCGTGGGAGTCTCTCTGCATGGCATAACCAAGACCTATGGATCCAAAGCTGCTGTTCAGAACCTCAACCTGAAGTTTTATGAAGGAAACATTACGTCCTTGCTGGGTCACAACGGAGCTGGGAAAACGACGACCATGTAGGTGGCCCTGAGAGGGGAGCCGTGCAGCACGGCAAGGAAGACAGCTTTGTAGTGAGCCACGAGGGGCCGTTTTGAAAGACCTTCCGATGGCATCAGAAGTTTGCCTTGGAGGCCCATTTTCTTGAAGTTCCCCTGCGTCATGTTTCCAGAGCAGTTTGCTCTCTCAGCAGGACTCCTCCTTTTTCCCAGGAAGGCAGAGTTCTGCTGCTTGAAAGGGTTTCTCTGCTTCCAGGCCAGTAAACAGTAACATCCCTGGGTGCTAAAGCATTTGTTTCATAGTAAAGGAGTGCCCTGCGGCAGTTAGGTTTGGCTTCTGGTCTTCCTGTGTGGTGGGGGGAGGGGGGGGGATGACCGACAGCACATCTTGTGCTGAGAATTATACATTAGCACAAGGACTGCTGGTGCCCATTCAAACCAGACCCCGTGAAGAGTTTGGGGACTGGCGGAGCCTCTGGAAGACCTTCCTGCTGGGCCAGTCTGGAGCGCTTCCCAACCCAGAGGGTTGTGGGAAGCCCCTCAGAAGCCCAGTTTGGTACACAGAGTTGTGATAAAAAAAACCCTAGAATATGTTTCGGGAGGACTGGAGGTCTACTGTACAGGAGCAATTGCCACTGATTTTCTTTCACGGGGAAAGTTACACCATAGAAACACAGCTGGAATTAAAACCCACCCCTGTCTGAAACACCCTCCATAGTCAAAATTAAGAAATATTCCATATCTGATTGGTTTTAAATTTAGTTTTATTTTGGGCTGAAAGGAATGCAGGCTTGCAGTGTTTTTTCCCCAGTTCTTCTGGGGAAGTCAGAGCCCATGGAAAATAAGTGCTGTCTGTTTCATGGACTCTCGGTTTA